AGCAGCTTGTCATTGCAGCAAACACGCCTCCACGCTCTGCATACCTCCTTTAGGCTTAGCTATGGGCTTGCCTTGTAGGGCTGCTCCTCATTAAGACTTCAAATGCTAGCTGTATTTGTACAGCTTTGTTTTCTAGGGCTGATTATTCGGCAAGTCTTTGATCATTTAGATCAAAAACTTTAGGCTTCTGCCTCAGGCTTTTGGAGAGTTCTTCCCAGAGAAGAGCAGAAACAGTGGCACGTTATAGTACTGAAAGTTTTGGCCACAGTCATACTGACACCACGAACAAACTCTGGGAAGTTATTCAATTAAAAGTTGGTCAGAAAGTTAAAGAGTGCAGGTGTCATAGTGGAACAATCAGGCAGCTTGACTGTTGTTTGTGCTGGTTTTTGGAGCAGAAGACAAAGATTTACTATTTTAGAAGGCCAGGGACACATCTCTCCTCAGAGATCAGTGAACAGTCAAGTTAAAGACATTTTTAACAACTACTTAAATTCTCTTGTATGGTCTTACTTTAAACATACTTGAGCCAATATGATTTTCTCTGTTATAAAATTACTTTAGAAACTGCAAAGCTCATCTTTTCCATCAGTTCCAACTACCCATCACCGAGCATCCCACAGAACTCACCACCAACCAGCCAGCCTGATGCAGACAGCAACAGCTCCGCATTCCAATTGCTCTGCATTACTTAGAAATGAGATCCCAGCCATCCTTCCACATGCTTTTGGAAGAAGAGTGAACACACCAGCTGGCATCACTAGAAGATGACAGAAAAGGTTCCATCATCTGTGCACCATCAGAAGCCATGACTGAAGACCTGTCCTACCTCTCCCAGATGGACAGGCTGCCCTGCCTGCACATTCCACAACAATGGAGCCATGTGCCTAACAACGTTCAGCTCTACATGTACAGCACCTAAAAAACTGACTTTTGGTGATGTTTTGGATCATTCTTAAATTTGACTAACAGAAACATTTACTTAACCAAGATTAAACCAGAAATCTTACACTCTAGGGCAAAACCATTGGTATAAGGTTGGGTTTTGGTTTTCTTATTATCACACTTCAAAGTGCTAAAGTAAAACATTTTACCTCCCCCCCCGCCAAGTTCTCTGTTTTTCAGCTCTTTTCTTCAGGGCCTCCAAACAACCTGACCTTAATTCAGGTTCAAATTAACTGTTCCCCAACTAAATTTTTACCGATAGCAGGTGTTTCCCCAAAACTACATGAAACCCCATGTCATCTAAATGCAGCCATTCAACCTGTTGTAGTATCCTGCCTACATCTGCAGCACTACATCAGGTTAACCTTCATGTTCCCGCAGGACACCCGCATGCTCCAGCATCCATCCTGGGGCTTGCCCAATCCCAAACAGCTGTTTCAAGGCTTTCTTACAGGAAGACTTCTCCAAATAAAATCACTCTAAACCATCATTAACACAGAAAAGCTTTCCCATCAGGCTAGCTTGATGAGCACACGCTTTCAGACTTGTAGGAGTAGACAAGGCAGGGGACAGAAGAGGCTTTTAATTAGCTCACTGATACTATGAGAGGGCACCCACAGCTATTCTGAGTGATCCTGCAAACAGCACTGGATCCCTACCTAAATGATCATAACTTTCATCTGGAAGACAAGGAAAGAAAAGCAGCACTGGGTAAAAAACTCACAGATACCCATCCTCACCAGAATGGGGAGCCAATCCAGGGATACAGCTTGGTTGAAAACTGCAATGTATACCTACCTGTCACATTATGGCTCTTAATCATTCAAGGATGGAATAAGCCTGAGAGGGTTAAGGAAACGCATTATTACCAAGACCTAAAGGAAAACAGAACTGACTACTATTCTGCTTATCACATTCATCCAGGAGCTTGGAGCCTGGACTAACAAAACACTCGATAAGCAAACACTGATATTTGGCAGTGAACACCTGCTAGATTGCTTTGCTGTCTCAAAATAACAGGCACAAGCTCATGATCTCAGAGAGAAAGGATCTTGAGAAAGAACAAGTGTTTCTCACCCATCCTAATACAAGAATTCACGTAAAAGCTTGATGAAACTGGAAAACGGTACTTTATCTTCACAAGCAGAAAGATAACGCATATCCTAGCACCTAGTTCTTTACAATACTGCAAAAACTACTTAGACAAGTAGATTGAGTAAAACAGTACAAATTGGACATGCCACAGTGCCATGAATTAACAGCATGCAAGCACAAGCAAGAAACAAGCTAGGCTTCTACAGCAAATTCTTTTAAACAGCTGATTTACTTTAAAAGTAGACCAGCAACAGCACTGCAGCTTTATCTTGTGTTCCATTTCTCAACAGAGAAATAAGACAACTAACGGGATGCAGATCAACATATGGCAAAGGGAAGTAACAAGTGTCACAGTTGCACGTGATTTCATAAAATCATTTGGAGTAAAGCAGCTTGAGATTAAGCAAATACTATACAAAGCCCTGCCAAGAGTCACATTTGCAATCAGAACAGTTAAGAGTTCATTTTTAAACCCACATTCAAAGAGGATTAGCCTGGAGTATAATTAAGAGAAAACCCTCTAGAGTTTCACACAAGGTCATCAGTTGAAGATGCTTTAGTTGGGTTGAGTATATCGCATGCATGTAAATTGATGACATTATAGTTACTTGATATTTGACAGTTTCTCATCATGAAAGATGCCTTCTCTCACAAGACTGCACAGAAAACCTCATCTCTTTTCCTTGGACAAGACCATACTGGTTTAACATTTTGCCTACAGTTGTGGTTTCTTTTCCAACAGAAACAGCAAAAAAACCTACACTTTGGAAGATGACCCTGAATATTCCGAAGTCTCTCTCCATTTTGCAGACAGTTAAATCATCACATAAACACCAAACTGACATACTTTACGAAATACCTGACTTAAACATCATTTGCTACCAGTTGATTCTAAGGACTGAGAAATAATGACTTTCTCTGCCCTCAGGTAGCATGACTGAGACCACATGAAATAGCTCCGGGAAACACAGAATCATGTAGGTTAAAAGGAACCCCAGAGGTCACAGCTATCTTTTTTTAAAGCCAGTGAAAAGAAGCAGCTCCAAAAGCAGAACTGATGGCAAGAAAGAACCAGACAAACTTAGCATCACACAAAGGAGTTAAGACTTCCCCACTTCCAACATCATACAATGAAACCTAACCAGTTTCTATGTATACTATCAATTTTTTTTCACTTTAAATAGCCCCATTACACCAACATTTTGTCCTTTTTAGAAGGAAAAAGATAGTAACATTTTTCATATACTGCATTTTTCCAAAGTGCGAGGTACAAAAAAAACCCAAACAAGCAAAACCTAACCAAGTTTTATGGGTTTGAATGCTGGCTTTATTTCAAGCTAAAACAAGTTTCAGGGTTTCAAGTCCTAGAGTTAAATCTCTGCTCCTGTTTACAAAGGGTGACTGGGAGTCAGGAGGAGAAAACAAAAGACTCAAACCACCAAAACCCAAGCAAAAGCAAACCAGTTGAGTTCCTCACTCCAGCACAGGAAGTAAATGCACCCAGAGGGGGACAAACAGCCCTTAAGGACAGACAAAAACACTTCTCACTTGAGGTGGAGCCTTTCATCTCTCTTTCTTTGCTACTACTTCAGGTGAAGCAGCAGCGAGTGCTGTAGTACCTACACCAAGGGAGACCCATAGCCCCTTCTCTACATGCTTGAAATATCTTTTGGCTATCTCTGCTGGCACAAAAAAGGAACTTACTCATTTCTAGGGAACTGTCTCTATACAACATGTACCCAAAACATGTCCTCTATTTAACATTTACCCAAAGGATTTTGACAAGCTAAGGCAATGCCATGCAAATCAAGCCTGTACCAGTAGCAGCCAGTCTAACGTTCAGTATTAGAACGAGCTGCTACAATAGCTGCCACTAAAGTCTTCCCTATTGACATCTACAAGCAGTATTGGAGGGGGTTTTTTTTGCCATTTACAGGTGGAAAGCCAGCCTACTCCTAAGTTTAGAGCCATCTGTTGTCTTCCTCATTTATCAGTTTACCTATTCATCAACTAGCAGTGATGACACTTACCCTAGTCAATTTCTTATACTGGCCAATAACATCCCAGTGAAGGATATCCTGTAAGGAAATGCTGAGAGAATTGGGGTTGTTCAGCCTGAAGAAGGCTTTGGGGAAACCTTACAGCAACCTTCCAGTACCTAAAGCAGACTTACAAGAACGACTTTTTAGTATGGTCTGTAGCAATGTGACAAGGGGCATTGTTTTAAACTAAAAGAAGGTCAATTGATGCTAGATATAAGGAAGACATTTAATGTAAGGGTGCTGAAACACTTAGCACAGGTTGCCCAGGGAGGCAGTAGGTGCCCCATCCCTTAAAACACTCAAGCTCAGGTCAGGCAGGGCTCTGTGCAACCCGATTAGTTGAATATATCCCTGTTGATTGCACTGGGGGGTTAGCACTAGAACACCTACAGAAGTCCCTTCTAAACTAAACTAGGCCATAGATTTTATGATCGCAGAACCACACTGCACTCTTCTCCCGTCTGACAACCCACTGAAGTTCTGCTGTCAAACGGCAGTTCCCATGTGGTGAGCCTCCGGCCGTTAGGGTCAACATAAACAAACCTTTTTCCCTACCTGCTCTTAGCCTTGCTTAAACAAGCCGGAAAACATCAAACAGGACCTCCAGCGCTCACAGCTACCTTCTTTTAAAGCCAGCAAAAACAAGCAAGCCAACGGGTTAGACTCGCAGCAGTGTTTACACAAGATTAAGCTCTCCTTCCTCTCTCTCAACAGACAGGATTCAAGTTAGCCCTTACCCAGGGACTCAGACCCAGCCTAAACCCAACCGCAGCTCCAAGCACAACCCTACGGGGGCTCACGACCCTCCGAAGAGCCGGCCCCCAGCCTAGGGTCACCGCGGCGGGCACAGGCCCAAGCTTAGGCCCCGACGTCTCCGGCACCCAGACAACCCCTCCCTTCGCCTCCGCACCGCCCTACCCGGGATAGCCAGGTTGGAGAGCGGGTAGGAGCGCAGCGCCGCCGGCAGCGAGCCCATCCAGTCCGCGTTACTGTCCGCCATGGCCCCCGCGGCTCCCCGCCGCCGCCGCCGGCCTCCTTGCTTCCCGGCCGGCGACCTCATGGCGGGCCCGAGGAGCGGGGCCGAGCCGGGCCAGGCCGGGCCGGCGGGGATGGAGCCGGTAACGGCAGCCCGCCCCCCTTATGTAACAGGTGCGGCGACGTCACGGCGGCAGGGCGAGCAGCCATTGGCTGCCGGCTGCTGGCCCCGCCCCGCCCCTCCGGGAGCGCGTCCTGGGGCAGGTGCTTTGGCTTCCGTACGGGGACGCGCGGTCCCTGTGCCCGCCGGGCAGCACCGGCAGCCGCCGCCGCGTGGCTGCGCCTTGTGCACCCCCTGACCCGGAGCGAGGGCTGCTGCTGCAGGGCTTAACGGGCCTGTCTGGCCTCAAGCGGCAGCATGGAGCGCTCCTGCAAGCTCATCACCTGAGATCCAGCTTCTCCCGAGCCAGCGGCGCTGCTTTCGCTGCCGGTGGCACCGGCTGAGGAGCTTTGCAGATCGCCGTGGCTTTGTGCAGCCGCACTGGGCAGTGATAACGATGTTGGGGTGTGCTTCCCTCTTTAGGGCACCCGTACGTAAGCGGCTGCCCCATGTGTACCAGGATCATTCCGTGAGCTTGGATGTGATGCTGTTGTTGCACCAGAGAAGCTACCCTCAATACAGAGGGCCAATGCCCGTTTTACAACGTTGACCAGTCCGTTTTAGCTGCAGCAATTTGCACACTGCACCTGACAAGAGCCATCACTGCAGCAGAAGATTTAAGGATCAAGACAGGGCGGGCAGCCTCAATCCTTTCTACCTGCGCAGTCAGCCTCATGCTCTACCTTGCACTGGGTTTAGCTGTGGGGTAAAGCATCTTGTCCAACGCAATTCCTGGATTTGCTATGATACACATAATGGATCCTCTGAGACACTTTTTCTCCCTTGCATTATTAGACATATTTGAAGGATAATGCTTTGTCAGCAAATTCTCTTAACTGCTTCTTACAAGTATCTATGAACATACTACATCTATGAACATACTATTTCCATACTCTTCACACAGGACATGGAGACAACTGGTCTACTCCATCATATGCTAGTGAAAAAAAAACAACAAACACTGCTCTGAAAGGCAATTTTTCACTGTCAGATTAATAAAGGCTGAAAACAAAATTCCAAGGGCTCTATATTCCAAAAGTCCTCTGTTTTTGTCTGTAGGGAAGTAGTTTTTAAATGAACAGGTATTTTTCATTTGGCATATGAATGGTTGCACGATATTCACAGGATGCTTTCGTTAATATATAGAAAAACTGCTAATTGAACTATATAGATACATAGACTTAATGTATCTGTAAATTCATATATGTTGACTGTGTATATTCACCTAATACAACCATAATCTATCTTCCATACATCTACATTATCCTTTCCAAGGAAGCGCACAAAGATGTTTTGTGTTTAAAGCTTTGATACTGAACAATCTTTAGAACAGTGCAATTTTCATTTAGGTTCTTATGTTCTTTTAGGTTTTTAGGCATGTTTCTACAAAGCACTCCTGACCTAGGACTCCTCACGCTCAAGGAGATGGGGGTTTGGCATGCATTCAGCTGCCCTGCAGCCCTGCTCCCTCTTCGCATTAGGACCATGTAGGGCACTGGCCTCTGATGGAGGACAGAGCAGGCTATGTTGCTCAAAGCCATACATAATGGGATCATACACTTTTTGCCTTGTGATTAAATTTGTATCTTCAACTGAAAGGCAGACTGTTACGTGGGAGCTCCCGTCCATGTTCCTGCAAGTTTATCTCCTTTAAATGACTACTTTAAATTACCCTCTTTCTCACAGTCCCACCATCGCAGCTTGGGACCACCCAGCAAACCAGCACGTGTGAACTCCTTAAACACAGCTGGCAGTCACGGCTGTTTCACGGTGTAGCTTTCTAGGATGGGAAAGCTTTGCAGTACAGGGGTAGCCATTTCACCGAGGCCGATATGCTCTTGAGGACGTCTTTGTGTCTTTGGGGCAGTACTTTGCTGTAGTCAGTGAACCTGTAAACACTGAAGCTGTATTCTAGAGCCGAAACAACCAAAGCTGACCACTGACACGGTGCTCCTGGTGTTCTTGCCAGGCCTCATGCTGCGTTTGCCGTCTTTCAAATGACACGAGGAAGATGGAATGTGTATGACAGATGGCAGTGTCTGAAGGGGAGCAGGCAGGGTGTGCGCTGGTGTGGAAAAAGGAGTCTAATCGACTCTACCAAAAAGCAGGTCTTGGTGGTCCTCTGCCATCAGATCGGCTAGAAAAGAGGGGGAGAAACTGGGGAGGAGAAAAAGAGCCTCAAACCTGCCCCCTTCACAGCCTCCCCAAAGTCTCTGACCCTTTGCCATCACTTTTTAATGTGACAGCATCAGGGTACTTCAGTGCTACCACAGTGACTGTCTCACTCACAGTTACCTTCAGCATCCCCAGCCTATGACATGCAGCGGGAGTACACCCAGGCTCTTGTGGTTAAGATGGTTTCTAAACCTCCAAGCTGCAAAGGACATTTAGTGTGGGACACCAACAGCTCGAAATCAGAATGAGGAGGGAAAGGGGAGACTTCAGCTGGGAGCATCACACGTGACACACTGGTATTTGCCTGCAGTAACCACTATCAGAACTCTCTTATGGTCCAAAAATCCTTCTTGTGCTTTTCTAGAAAAGAACAACGTTAAATTGCCTGTTCTTTTCCCCAAAACCTCAACCTCTTTCCATTTCCACGGAACTCTGTAATTTTGTTCTCTAGTCGGTACCAAACCCTGCCATAATGAACATTAATTGCAATGGCCAGAGGGAACAAACGTGCATTAATAATACAATTCTATTTTCCACTGACTAAACCCACAAATTAGCTGGGGTCTTGTCACTTGAGACCATTCAACTGCTCCACTTCAAGCATGTTTTTAAGTGGCTGCAACAATGAATACCTAAGCAGGGAGGAAAAAATACCATGCTATCGACATCCGTTTTATAAAGCCTGCATCAAGGTCAGTAGTTGTTGGATTTTTCCATGCTGCTGTGGAGCATTCACATGTGAATCACCTTCAGCAGTCAGGATGGCTTGACTGAAACTTGACTGTCTCTTTTCCCCTGTGGATTACGTGGATATTCATGCCTTATGTGCGTTCACTGACAGAGTTCAGCTATTCGCTTGTGCCAGCATACGAGCCCACGTCATGGGCAGCCCAGGCAACTGAGCAGCTGAGATCCCATTCCCACAGCCCTAACCCTCCTGTTTTCAAATGCATAGTCAAAAGGTCAGCTGTGCGGATCGTGCTGATGCTGTTTAAGCACTAAGAGGCATATGGGTTTTGCTGTTAGTCAATTCCAAACACACAAACGTGCTCTTGGGCTGCCATATACAGAATATGAAGCCAGAACTATGAACTTTTAAAAGTGCTTCAAAGCAACAGAAAACAAATTGATAACATCAAGTGCTACAGGGAGCTTAGCCTCCTCTCCTTACCGTGTTGAATACCCTGGTTACATGTGTCCCATTATTCAACAGGGTGCATTGCTACCGTTAAAAAGCTTTCAGTTAGTGTTTTCAAAGTCTTCCAACTGAGTCCAAAATCTACTGTGCCATGTAAATTCCAGATCCTTACTGCAATTTATCGGCAGACAGTAGATCAAATGGGGGGGTTTGAAATGGCTTCTGTGTCATCTGCATATTTTAAAGGTCATTTTGCTACTGATGAGAGGAAAACTGCAGGATTCACTCTCACAGAGAGAAGCTAATTGCTCAACGTTTCATGTAAGTATATTCAGACTCCTCCAAGCTGTTCATTACCATTTTTACCCGGACTGTAATGGAATTATTTAACATTTAAACCCATCAGACACACTTAATCACAAACCTCGGCAGACACTGCTGCATTTAAAACATCGCTTCTTCAAGTGCGGGAGACCAAATAGCAGTGTTCATTTCCCGTTTTACAGCAAGCCAAAGACCCGCCGTGACTATCACAGCACTTTCTGCACTTCCCAAGTACATCGCAAATACTTAGATGCCTATCACATAATACACCCTTCATATGAGTGACTTCCCTCCTTTCTCTGTCCACCACTCATAGCCTCAGTATCAGTGCATATCATTACCCACTTCTGTCTCCCACCTTTAAAGCAAGCCCTCGGCATCCGCTACTCTGTTTGACAACAGCGAGCCATTCAATACTTCATTTACACCACATGAGGGTGTTTGAAGCTGTGCAGGATGCCAGAGTTAATTCGGAAGTCCTCCCTCCTGTCTGGAAAGGAACCAAGGGGCAAAAAGATACGTTATTTCCCCACTGATTAAGAACCTTACTGGGGCAACCTTGGACAAGAGACTTTGAGAGGAAAAAGATGAAGCCTCCCACGCCAGATTGGAAGAGGATGCTTTAAAGAAGATGTTTTAAACAGAGCAGTTTTAAAGACATAATCCCGTGCTCCCTGAATTCAAGTAATCTTTTGCTCCAGACTTCCCCGAGCTTTGTCTTGCCCTTAAGGAATCATGTAAAATATGATATGATTTCATATTATTTCCAGTAAAATCTCCTTAGACAGGATTAAGTAATCATTATCCCCCTGCAGAGCTCTTTAGAAGCTTTCCATTAGCTTCTTGCTCAAAGTTAATTGCAGAGTCAGGAAGGACTGGCTACTAACATAATGTATAAAACAAATCTTCCCCTTCCTATACTGCTGCTTCTGGAGTTTAAGCACACGCAGATCTGTCCCATGTTTGTCTGCTCTGATAAGCGACAGCTTTAAATCCAGCAAAGACTGCACAAGGTCACTCATACCCTGTCGTGGTATCATTTCTGTACACAGCTTTTTAAAGCAAACACATACATAAAAAGGAACCCAGAGCACCTCACAAGGCTTCCAACACAGCTGCAGCGAGGAAAGCATCTCTCTAAAAGAGAAAACTCTGTCGGTCCATATTAAGATGGTCTTTTCCCCTAGGGAAGTCCCAGGTGGCAAAGACCATTATCAGCAACTGTTAACGTATGAGCTGGGCTCTGGGATGGCCAAGCAGCCTGTGCTCTCCCATCGCCTGTTCCCAGGACTGCCACACTGCAAACTATAGGGGTGCTTCTTAAATAAGCAAGCCCAGCTTAATTCATTTACAGGCTCAAAAGGTGCCTTGTAAGAGAAGCTACTGCAATGCATGTTAAAAGGAGGCATGGTTCAGAGGCAGAAGGTCATTCAGGAGGAATAAGGCTTGGTGGGGTGGCTGTCAGGCATGCGAGGACCACAGCATCCTCTAAGCTCACAGCTGCTGAAGAGATGGAAGCCAGGCAGAGGCAGAGGGTACCCATGTACATCAGGCCTGGGGCTGGCAGTCGTTCTCTGCCCGTGGTTAGCAGGACCCACACCACCTGGACACAGCCATCAGGAGCAAGAATTGGGGAGTGCTGGGTAAAGTCGCTCTCTTCGCTGAGTCCCAGCCCTGCAGCTGACTTCACAAGGCACATTAGTAACTGAAAACAACCACAGGACACAAACTGCTTGCTTCCATCCTCTCCCCACCCCCTGCAACAGTGTGCTGTCTCCCCAGAAGCAGATGAAGGTCACTTGCACACAGAACCCCTTTGCTGCTTAGCTCTCTGATGCGTTGCTTTTACAGCTGTGTCACGCACATATGAAAGCCCATATACAGCAGACGCAGCTTATTTCACAGTATTGCATCTGTGTTATGCGTGACCTCAGATTCTGACTCAGGTCTGCGTTACAGGTTTTACTGTATTACAGATTTGCATTTAGCATCACTGTGCTGGTTTGGGATGGGGTAGAGCTCATTGTCTTCATAGTAGCTGGTATGGGGATGTGTTTTGGGTTTGTGCCGCAAACAGTGCTGATAACACAGGGATGCTTTAGTTCCTGCGGTGATTACACAAAGCCAAGGCCTTTTCTACCTCTCACCCCACCCACGAGTGGCTGGGGTGCACATGAGGTTGGAGGGGAGGCACAGGTGGGACAGCTGACCCCACCTGACCACAGGGATATTCCACACCATAAGGCATCATGTTCAGTATATAAAACCGGTGGAAAAAGGAAGGAAGAGTGGAACGTTGGGAGTGATGGTGTTTGTCTTCCCAAGTCACCGTTAACCTGTGATCGAATGCCTGCTTTCCCGCAGGTGGCTGAACCCCTGCCTGCCGATGGCAAGTGGGGAACGGATCCCTTGTTTTGCTTTGTTTATGTGTGTGACTTTTGCTTTACCTGTTACAACCGTCTTGATCCCGACCCAGGAGTTTCACCTTTGGATTCTCGCCCCCATCCCATAGGAAGGAGCGAGCAGCTGAGGGGGCTGAGCTGAGCTGCTCAGCTCTAAGCAGAGACTCGGTACAATAACCTTCTATCCCCATGCAGCAAGCTTCAAACACGTTACCCTTATAGAAGAGCTTTCCTGACACTCCCATAGTGTCGCTTCTGTCAGTCCCTGTCTTCACAGTCTTCAACACCTCAGGGGTAGTTTCCCTGGTGGCTTAAGCCACACTTGAGGCATCTGGTAACTTTATCTGGTCCAAGTTATTCCAGGATTGGAATAAGCACCCAAGTCCAAGCTGGGGGGGGGGTTAAACCTTCACACTGGGGCAGCTGATGCCCAAAATAATAGCTTTGGAGTTGTCTGTGGGGTTTTGTCCCGTTTAAGTTAAAGCAGGGGTAAATTTTGAGCCCAACCACAGTTCTTGGGTATGTTATGTGTTTATCCCAGCGAGCAGCAGGTGAAGCCAAACAGAAACACGAACTACCTTGTGCTCAATTCAGCTTCATTAAAATGAAAGGATGGAGACGGGGGCTGGCAGGTGGGGATTTTCCCTCCCTCTTTGCCCCCGGTCCCCCATGCTGCCCTCAGATGGAAGGGAGGGCAGGCATCCTCCTTGTCCCCATCCGTCAGCCCCGCTGCATCCCCCCCCACCAATCCCACCGCTCCGGGACACGGAGGCCGCGCTCGCCGCCGGCCGCGGTGCTGCGGCGCCACCTGCTGTTCATATTCGGGAGCGCAGCTGCTGCGCCCGCGGGTGCTTCCTCGGTGCGGGGGGAGCTCCAAGGAGGGATGCTCTGGAGAGGCTGGAAGTGGTCCTTCAGCCAGGCGGGAGTGGCCTGGAGGTCGCTCCGTGGCTGAGCCATGTTTGCGGAAGCAGCATCCTTTGGGACGGGTGGGGCGGGGAGCCGGGCGGAGCTCCTGGTGGCTCTCCTTGCAGCCAGGCTCTGTTAGCAAGTCGTGGGGTGTTCCCAAAGGCAAAACCTCAGTGCCAGAGGGAACATCTCCGACCTGAAGCAACCGTGGGGATTAAAATAGCCGAGATGATAAAATAACGCCACGTTGATGCTATGCTATGGAGTCTGCTATCGACCTCTAATGACAAGGAAGCAAGCTGTGCTCTCCGCATCCTTTCGAATATGGCTATCCAGCTTGCTTTTTTATCCTGACTTCTTTGTTCAAAAGCAGCAAGCTGCCTTCTTTTGCAGTGACTGAGAGCATGAAAAGTTAAACTACGTTGCTTCTACAAACCCATACAGACAAGAAGCGCTCAAATTAGTATTGAGCCTTCCCTGCATGCAGAGTCTGTACAGCTTTGTAGGGAGGAAGGTGTTTTCTGTTCAGCACAGATGTTCCCTTAGGGATGGATTTAGAACTGCTTATGCCATAAGGTAAATAATAGAACAAAATGCCTCTAAAAAGATCTGTCAGATCATTCTTTCCAGTAAGCCATTCATCCATCTGAAGTCCCAGGAAATACAGTGCTCCAAACCCTGATACTCATTGACCCGTGTTTAGCAGTAAATAAAGCAAAACCCAAACCAGAATACAAATTTTAAGCTTGACATGATTGCTTTTTAGTTGATTAATGTTAATTACAGAAATACCATCCTGTTAACAATACATGTCCCAACAAGCTCGGAGGGACGGTTTCTTGGCTGGCTGAAGGTAATGTAAGACCACACTGCTGCCAAAAGCACTGCTCCTGCGCCTTGCATTGGTGACCATATAGCTGCTGAACTGCCTACTACCCTAATCATGAGTGAAAGTGCAAGGGAGCACACAGCCCTGGCAGGATGGAATCACGAAATGGTTTGAGTTGGAAGGACATTAAGCTCATCCAGTTCTAAACCCCTGCCACGGGCAAGGACCCCTTCCACTAGAGCAGGTTGCCCAAAGCCCCTGTGTCCAACCTGGCCTTGAACACTGCCAGGGATGGGGCAGCCACAGCTTCTCTGGGCACCCTCTGCCAGCGCCTCAGCACCCTCATAGTGAAGAGTTTCTTCCTAATGTCTAATCTAAAACTATCATCTTTCAATTTAAAGCCATTACCCCTTATCCTAGAACTACATGCCCTTGTAAAAAGTCCCTCTCCAGCTTCCTTGTAGGCACCGGAAGCTGCTATAGGGTATCACCAGAGCCTTCTCTTCTCCAGGGTGAACAAGCCCAAGTCTCTCAGCCTGTCTCCATGGGAGAGGTGCTCCAGCAGCTCTTTGTGGCTTTGGGTAAGACTGGAGCATCCTTTCCATGGGCTTAAGGCGCCTGGGAAACTACCCCTGAGGTTTGGAAAATGGGAAGATAACAAATGACAGAAGCTCATTCAGACCAAAGGAGAATACAATTATTATAGTCCTTTTTATTTTTCTTCACATGTCTCATTGGTATAATTGCAGAAAAGCAGACTCAAGAGTGATAATTGTTTCAAAGGCACAGCACTTCCAAAAGGACCAGCATTTCCCATTATCTTTAGGGTCCTTATTCATTTCAGTCCTCAAGTCTCTGCTCCACGGGTCCAAAGTTGATCTTTCTTGCAACATCAACAACAGCAACTGGTTCGTCTTCGCAAGCAGTCCCACCAGGCCTGCACCGTGGCCTTTCCCCTCCACACCATCCTGTGCTGCAACCCCATGATAAGAGATGCAGGCTCTTTCTTTGTGTGTAAGGTGCTGGTTCCGTTTGGTTTGGTTTCGCAGCGATACCAAATCCCATGTTGGTTCATATTTGTCAATATTTGCATAGCAAAACATGTAATAATTGTAAGAACGGCTCCTGTAGGAATCAAAACCCTTGTGTTAAACCACCGTTTCCCCTGTAATCGTGGTGCCCATATGGCAGAGCTGTCATCTCTATACACTTAGCAAAACAAAAGGCGGGTGGAGTGATGTGTTAATCTGTTCCCATTAACAAGACAGCAAATTCCCCCTTGATCCCGCAGCTCAAATGAAGCACATGTAATCTCAGGGTGACACTCACAACGGTGTTAATGTAATGCATGCATAGAGATAGACGGGATGAAATAAGTGTCCTCGGGAGCGCTCAGCTTCCAGCACTGATGTCGTTTAGGTGCTCTGCATCTTAATATGGGTCATTAACACCAAACTGTTTTAAAGACAAAGCCTTTTAATTGGGTCGGCCTTCTGTGGGCGATGCTACAGGCTTTCCAGCTCGTGGCAGGACGGGGGGGTCCCATCAGATTCCACCATGCAGGCATACTTTATGGGAGGCGGCGGTGGCTTGAAAGACGGAGGTCTGTCCATTCTGAAACGGAAGAGGAAAAAAAGCGCTATCGAGCAAAAGCTGTATAAAAGACTGCTGCAAAACGTGCACGGGAGGAGGGAGGGGGACACTAAGTCGTTAAAGAGCACCTGACATTTGCTTTCGCATAGCATGACTCCCGTTTCTGCTCTATAGCCTCAGCGCACCTCCCGATATTCATTTGGCTTCCTCAGCTCCCGCCTCCCAATTTTACTGTATTCATGCTTTAAAAGAGCAGACCGTGGTCCCGGTGAAGCATTCAAAACCCTTGCAGAGGGTTTTTTGTCGCTCACGCTGCTCTCTGAAGGCATATTTAAAGACTCAACTTTTCTTTTGTCAGTTTATAGGCCAAGTTAAAGAAAGGCCCCATCCCAAACCGGTGCAAAAATTAATCCCGTTTTTACCTTTGATATACAGGGTTTTTGCAGCCGCGTTTCAAAAGGGCTTTTTAGGACCGCAAATGAGTCATTAACACCGTGATTTTTCAAACATTTTAGTAATGCTAGTGAGATTAGAAATAATTGGCTCTCAGATACTGCTTTCATCAGTAGATCTCCGAGTGCTTTAGTAGGGAATTAAACTTTGGTAATAATTACAAACTCAATGCTTCTTTGGCTGGGATTAAGTTTTGGGTAGCCTACTTTCACATATATTATTCACAACCGAAATAGAGTTACCCTAGAAGCAGAGTTTCATTAAAACATGTCCTCAAGTAACCATGCAGAAACAGAGAGCAAAAGCAGCTGGCAGGCAGGCTAATAGGAGTGGGGGGGCTCTGGGATAAAGAAATTGACTTGTATTCTTCCCTCATGCCCTGAAGCTGCACCGCAGCTCTTTCTTTATAGTTTGTTTTATAGATAACCCACGGAACAGATGAAAGGGCTGAGAACACTCAACATAAAAAGGACATGGAACTGTTGGAACAAGTCCAAAGGAGGGCACGAGGATGATCAGGGACTGGAGCACCTCCTGTATGAAGACAGGCTGAGGAAGTTGGGGCTGTTCAGCCTGGAGAAGAGAAGGCTGCATGGAGACCTCAGAGCAGCTTCCAGTATCTGCAGGGGGGCTATAGGGATGCTGGGGAGAGACTCTTCATTAGGGACTGTAGTGACAGGACAAGGGGTAACGGGTTCAAACTTAAACGGGGGAAGTTTAGATTGGATACAAGGAGGAAACTCTTTACTGTGAGGGTGGTGAGGCACTGGAATGGGTTGCCTGGGGAGGTTGTGAATGCTCCATCCCTGGCAGTGTTCAAGGCCAGGCTGGATGAAGCCTTGGTTGAGATGGTTTAGTGTGAGGTGTCCCTGCCCACGGCAGGGGGGCTGGAAGTGGATGATCTTAAGGTCTTTTCCAACCCTGACTATTCTACGGTTCTAACACTCCATGTTTCCTACTGCTGTATGGCAAAATGTGGCAGTAGCATCCATGTACTTAAAGGCCTTGTGCAGGATGGATAATGTCAAGGGAAAATGTGTCAATCCAAACAGCTGGGTTAGAGTTTATGCTGTTCTCTGTGCCACCCCTCCTGCATCTGCAGTTCCCCCTTCCTTGTACTCACATCTCTTTTTGGTACTGACACCATTTCCTGATGCCCAAAGCTATCAGAAAGCTGCAGGAGAGGAGCAGGACAGCTACCACTGTTGGCCAGGAGAAGTGCTTGGCTTTCATGTTCATCACACCACCTGGAAGGGACACAAGAGACAGAGCTCAGCTGAATGTCCTCAGAGAGGAGGCAAATCTGGGCTTGCTGCCTACAGGCACAATGCTAGTGATGATACAGCCCCAAATCAACACTAGACTGTGAGGCTCCCAGGCTGAGGATCCCAAATCTGAGCATTGCAGCTCTGATTTATGGAATTAACCCGCTTTTCTTCCGACTGGCTTTGCGGGCTGATTTCAGCCAGCCATCCATTCACATGATGGGGTTGTTCAGGCAGAGACTGGCAAGTGTTTCATCTGAAAATCAGTGCTTTTGTCTGCTTCTATGTGAGCTTCTTTAAGGGGAAGCACACTGACACCGAGCCCTGCTGAAACGTCTGGCTAAAGGCACAGCCACTTTTTGGTGTGGGATCTTGTTGATGGCACAACAACCCTGCCTCTCCCTTGCTGCCTCTCCTGCTTGGGATCCCCCCACTTCTCCACAGCCGCCTTTGAAGGGTGCTGGTAGCTGAAAGAGGTACCCTCAGGATCCCAGCTATAAGGAGAAAGGAGAGGAGGAGCATGGACCTCCTTCAGCTGGCACTGAGGGTGCAGCAGTGGGCTGGTTTCCACAGAGGCCTGAAGCACAAGAGTCACTGGGTGATACCACCTCATTATCACCTCCCGTTGTGCTGGCATCACGACCCTTTGTAATGCTGCTCATGCTGGGATGTCACTCAGCCTGGGGCTTAGCCACAGGGGTAGCCAGCAATGTGGCTGGACACCAAGTCCACCACACTGCACGAGCCATTAGTGGCCCCTGGGGCATAGGGAGTGTGACCGGCCAAATTTTGCTGCTGGAAGAAACCATGCACTGAGGCATCACTTGCGGATGCAGGGAGAAGGCAGCAATGCCAAAAGCCTGCAAGGACCCGCGGTGTGGGGACACAGCAGCTGTGACTCCTCTTTTCATCCCTTCTCCCTTCCTTGAGCTCCCCTGGTCAGCTGCACATGATGCTTCAGATCCTGCGCTCCTCTGCTTTTCTGACTTACTGCAACGGCATGCCGAAAGAAGAGGCTTTGTAGGATAATGTCTCACCAGTAGTACTGAGAGAACTGCTGGCCGTAAAGAAATCTTCCCCTCTGGTAACTGAAATTGGCTGGTCGGTGATGCTGAAGGACAGGTCACCTAGAAAGATACGGGCACAGAATACTTTTAGTAACTTATTTGGAGTTTTTTGTTGTTTGCTTTTTTATGTTTAAGTGAAGGTTGTGTTTCGAAGCCACTGTTATTCACCCTGGTGAAGGCTGGAAATCGAACTCCAGAATCAGGGTGTCAAAATTCTCTTGGCAAGAGTCTTATATTTTTGGCCTACAACCCTGTGTTAGCCAAAAATTGTGCTTTTATCAAATTAAATAATAGTAAAAGAAAGGAGAGGAGAGGAGAGGAGAGGAGAGGAGAAGAGAAGAGAAGAGAAGAGAAGAGAAGAGAAGAGAGAAGAGAAGAAGAAAGAGAGAAAGAAAGAAGGAAAGGAGAGGAAAGGAAAGCGAAAAAGAAAGCAAGAAAGGAAAGAAAGGAAAGAAAGAAAGAGAAAGAGAGAAAGAGAAAGAGAAAGAAAAGAGAGAGAAAGAAAAGTATTAGAAAACACCCATTAAGATGTTCCAGCAACACAGCATTGTGCTGCACAGCAGTCTGGGTGAATGATAAGCTTTTTTACCTCTTTGATGGTAATGAAGAGCTAAAGATATTAAGTGGCTTAGTAGCAACACAAAGAGTATGTCTCTGCCATGACTGAGTGAAACCTCAGTCTCCTCTGTCAAGTACTGTGTCTGAACCACAAAAGTAATCACTCATCTGTTTGTAGACAGATACTTAGCCCTCCTTAATACAGCTAAGCTACCTATGTTTGAGATCAGTGCTGCCTAAGGATACATTCCTGTTTTTTCTAGCCATCTCTGTGTTTGCATCTTCCAAAATAATAGCTAAAAGATGCAATTAGACAATGGCACAGCATTTCCAGAGCTGCCATGGCACTTACGATACACCGGGGTTGTGTTCTTGGAGAAGCGCGTGGCATTCCTGAGGCTTTGAGGGGATTCGGTGATGGAATCATTAAGATCTGTACAAAAAGAAATAATGCCCTTCAATTATCTTACAAGCCTGTACGTGATTGCTTCACTGGGCTCAACTGTGGCTATTTTATACCCTTCGCTTTTGTCTGACGCAAACAACAAATGAAATAACAAAGATACCTGAAAGGCTGTAGTATAATTGCTGATTTATAAATCCAAGAAAACTAAATCCACCATTTAAACAATGTAAATGAGTAATCAGAGACAGGAAAATCTCTTTCTTATGAGAGGCTGGTTCTGATCAAAATTGAGCACTCAAGTTTACATATATATATATATGTATGTATGTATATATGGATGGATGGATGAATGAATAGAAGGCTCCAGGGAGACCTTATAGCAGCCTTCCAGTACCTAAAAGGAGCCTCCAATAAAGCTGGAGAGGGACTTTTTACAAGGGTATGTAGTGACAGGACAAAGGGGAATGACTTTAAACTGAAAGAGGATAGATTTTGATTACATACTAGGACCAAGTTTTTCACTATGAAGGTGGTGAGAAATTGGCACAGATTGCTCAAAGGAGTTGTGGATGCTTCATCCCTGCAAGTGTTCAAGGCCAGGATGGATGGGGCTTTGAGCAACCTGGTCTAGTGGAAAGTATCCCTGCCTGTGGCAGGGGGTTTAGAACTAGATGATCTTTGAAGTGTTTTCCAGCTCAAACCATTCTATCATGCTGTGTATGTAGGTATGTATGTATTAAAAAGCCCTGACAAAAATCAGTCCAATTTTAGGGCATTCTAAAAATTCACTGAGAATTTTGGTCATCAATTCAGTTCTTCTTTTCTCCTTGTTTATTAAGTGTTTATTTTTATGGGCACAAGCATGCTAGATCTGGCATCTTAAAGTTATATATAAAAAAGAGGATATAGACTTAGAGATCCCACAGCACAGCGCTCTATATAGCATGCTGATGAGCACTACTTGTTATAATTTACATAATGGCTCGTGTTAGAGCCTCTGAGGATTGAACTGATAATAGCAATCCCTGTTGTGGCCCTGGGAAAGCACAGGGACACATGCTAGTATGCCTCAGCGGGAACACTGGTGCCAGTGTGCTCTGAAATTACCCCCCAATTACAGCTGCCAGACTGAGGACCCTTCAAAGCCATGCCTCAGCTGACAATCAGGCTATGGGGAAGCAACGGTAGGGATGTAGCCATAAGTGGTACAGGACTCAGTACCTCCTGTAAATAGCAGTGTAATTCAGCATGCTTTTAGCAAAAATTGCAACCAACAGGCTGTGCCGGGGTAGGATCGTGAAGCATTAGAAGTTGTCACAAGGTTTCAGTGTAAATGCGTGGTTGGGGGTAGTATGCAGGTAAATAAGCACTGGAGTGCTGCCAAAAATACAGCTGGAAAATGGAAAGCGGCTGCTACGCTTGTGCTTCAGCCGAAAGAAGACTGACAGACGAATACAAGAGTGCATTGACAAGCCCTGCCTGTTCCGAAAGCACAAAACCAGGGATGGTAAAGAAGAGAGTAACTTCCATCTTTCTGCTGCTGCGTGGAGATTTTCTAAAGGGAAAGATCAGCGGAAAAGTGTCCACCCCTGGGGTTTCCTTTATTGATTTATTGATCTTTAATGAGGCCGCCTTTCAACGTTCTATTCGCCAGCCTCTATTGCCCCACATTATCTCATTATTTCATTGCTGCGCGGTGATTTTATTTAGCTGCTCCTGTAATTCATTTCATCTATAGACTGCCCTCAGTACTCACTGCATTTGCCTAGCAACTCTCTCCATTTCAATATTATCAAATTAAATATGTCCAATAAAACCAGGATTCTCTTCTGCGTTCCTCTTCTGCTGCCGCAAACCCTTGACAGCTTGGAAGAGTCAAGCCTTTATCTTCTAGCTCAGTGCAACTCCGCAGGGGAATTGCTTCTGTGAAATACTGGAAAGCCGGTACAGATTCCACCACCCGAATCTGACCTCTGCTCAGACACAACTTTTCTGTGTTTAGGAACAGCTTATGCATGGCGATGTGACAACTATCAACTAGCAGCTGAAAATAAGCACCGCAGAGCGAATGTGCTTGGCAAAGGCATCACAAACAGGACCACACAGAGCTGAGTACCCGCTGCTGTACTTTGAGCAAGATACTCCAGATGACTTTAGATTTGCAAGCCAACACTTGCTAAGTTGGTGCCACATTTGAACTTTGCAGCGCCCATAACTGGCTTCATAACTCCCCTGGTACAGTCCTACGAAACAAAGGAACTGCATCATCTACTCACATGCTGTTGTCAATCTCTCATTAAATGCTGTGGAGCTGGTATGGGTTTTTGTTTCTGCTGTAGGAATCAGTGCTCCTACTGAAAACACACAAGCTTGTAAACATTGCTGTAGAGGAACTTATTACTTGTCTTTCATTTTTCCCTCTTTCTTCCCTGTTTCCTGACTAATGAGGTCAGATGGTTGTAACCTACTACTTGCTATATTGGTTTCTCTCAGACAAGCACCATACAACTGTGTGTCTGTTTTGAAACCCTATCAATCACAAGCTAGAAACTCAAGAGGAGTTTGATGAGATGGATAAATAAACTTCGAGAAAACATATGGGGCATTTAAGCATGTACATTTGGATTTTAGCTGGGTTTCAGTTGAAACTCAGTAGTTCCAATTGCGATGGCTTGTTTTGACCTAAAGCCAGTGCAGTAACGAACAAACATAGGTAAATCAGAATTTAGACAGGGTTTCAGCACCTCCAATGAGACAAAACTGTTTTCCCAAACAGCAGAGAGAGCTTTTGAAGAAGTTAGTGTGCAGGAACACACCTGCAATACCTGGTGCCAAATGACAATTGATTTGCCAAGGGAAGCTGTGAATGCTCCATCCCTGGTGGTGTTCAAGGGCAGGTTGGCCAGAGCCTTGGGTGAGATGGTTCAGTGTGAGGTGTCCCTTCCCATGGCAGGGGGGTTGGAACTGGATGATCTTAAGGTCCTTTCCAACCCTGACTATTCTATGGTTCTATGACATATTCCATGAATCTGTTTTTGAAGCGCTAAGTATTCTAGGGCTCAGCTACCTGTTTGTCTGATATTCAAACACAAACAAATGGTGGCTAGCAAGTAGACCTCTATTTTTTCCCAAGAGGCCTTATTTCACATTTACTAAAAAGAGTCCACATTTCCTAACATCTGTCTCATTTTTGGAGAAGTATCCTTAAGCTATCTGAACAAATCTGAGAAGGTGAAACGCAGCTGTAACCCAGCACTTAAAGCCTGAGCATCTCTGAGCTCAGAGATGGAGATATGATGGAAGCTAAGTGAAGACCGGGCTGCAGTTTCAACAGCCTTGGTTTTGTCTCCATTCCTCCTTCTCCTGCCTATATCTGTGCACTCTTCCCTCATACCAATTCCCAGCTGTGTCTTGGATGTTCATTAAAGACTTGCAAAACAACAAGAACTGAACCAACCTCCTTTTTGCAATGGCAGACTCAGACTTAGCATCCTGACTCGGCTGCAGCCCAAACAGTCTGCTCAAGAAGCCGATGGTGGCACCAGCGTAGTAACCAACAGCACGCCAGAGAGGAGAAGCATTAACCCACAGTCAGCACACCACACCTGCCACACGTCAGGGCATTGGTTAAAAGGCAGTTGTTTCTTGGTCTATTCATAGAAGACAAACAGCTCTGCACCAGCTCACACTACAACTTTGACCTCGTACCTTCTCATCTAGTGAAGATACATAATCAAGTGAGGAGAATCCTCTCTGTTCATATTGTATATTTACAACCTGTGTCATGACACTGTTTGCAGAAGGGATTTCTGTCTACTTGGACAAGCACTTTGTTTCCAGGCTGGGCAAATGTCTCTGCTTTGGGGATGGGGAAGACATCATGAGAATCAACAAGCCTTAATTTCAGTGCCTCTGCAATCTGTGTTGCTACCCTGGCATACCTCAATCTAGACCTAGCCTCTTCATGCACCAGGGTTTTACAATGAGTGATTCAGCTCCCAAACAGCACTCTGCTAGGGCAGGATGAAGCCTTTTGTTCAGCAGCTTCCTCCAGTTTGCCCCTCCCATTGCTCACTCAGCCCTGGGTAAATACTGCTATAGCGTCATGTAATGTAGGTTACTTTAAGTGGACGTTGCAGGGTTGCATTATACAGCTTAAGGAGGATGTTTGATGCCCCACGGGCTAGTGAAAGTTAGTCTGTTTGAAGAACAAGGCTGCTGCAAATACCAAGGGCCAAATCCGCTCCTGCCAGCTGCTGCCTCAGCGGCGAATCGTTTCTGAGCCGAAGATTTGATGCTGCTGTGGAGGGGAAGATGGGGTTTGACAAGGACTTGCCAAGTTGCATCTCCTGCGTGCTGCCGTTTCACACATGCTGTTTTGCATCCAGAATGGGGACGTGTGCCATGCCTGCAGCTCCAATGCCCTTCTAACTCCTGCTTAAACCCACCCATTCCTCCAGGGATCAACAGCTGGGATTCAAAATGGAAAGAGACTTTAAAGGAAGAAGTGCTCCCAGCTTGATGCTGGGATCGGTGGGCATCAACCCTTTATTTTGGGATCAGAAGTCAGGAGGTTTGCAGCTTCACCTGCTCTCGACTCAGGCTGCTGCCGCACTGCTGAGCATGTGCCAGTTGCTCCTGCACATACCTCTCGCTGGGGAAGCGAGGTTAAACCCTTCCAAGTACGTTACCGTGCCCTTCACCGGCCTCGGTGTCACCAGCCCAGGGAAGAAATCACTGTGTTGGGTCATCTGCTGTTAATATTTTGCATATTGGTGCTTTTCATTCGTATTCCTGTGCTCCATTATTTGGGTTGCACTGTTTCTACCTCTAATGTCACTTTATGTTTGTAGGGCATTTAATTGAAGAGATACATATAATAAGTAATCGAAATACATATATACACTCAATGTCTGTTCAACTTGCTCGAATTAATGCATATATCCTGAATGGAGCATTAGAAAAGATAAAATCACACAGCATTTTCTCATTTTTGGACTGTGGACTTCCTGGTGTATAATGTACTATAAAAAAGGACTTCAGTGGGCATTATATTGTTTTCTACAAAAAATGCAAGGTGGTTATTGTGTTTATGTACCTTTCTCCTGCATTCTTGAAGCAATAGAGGAAACATTTTGGCTGAATTGATTACCTTGTGTCATGGAAGCAGGAGGCAAGTTTGCTTGACTTCTGAAATCCGGAGAGGCCAAAGATGTCAACGGGTGCTCTAATGACAAACAGATCACATTTAGTCAATAGGGTATTTAAACCACGCTACTAATAAATCATAAACCAACCAGGATCAAAGAGCTTGCAGTAGATGTTGGGTAAGCGCAGACGGCAGCAGGAATCCTGCTGATGGAGTTAAGGTTAAACGTTCAAAACACATCCCACAGATGCAAGGGGCACTCGGAGATGGCTGATGTTATTAATGCTGACCCTTTCACACGGGCTGGCTGTGTGCATTACTTATTGATGCTTTTATACACAGGGTTCAGTTTAGCTGCTATGGGGTGGTTTAAGCACTTGGTGGTGGTGCTCCCCTGCCTGGCCAGGGCCTTGCCAGAAATGCTCCTGACAACACGCAGCATGAGGTCGCCTGCTCTTGTGAGTTTTCCTCTCAGCTGCTAAAGATAGATCCCTATAGTTATCCACATGCATGCTCTGCTAAAGAAATGCTATTTATCTTATATCATTAATGAATGGAAATAACGCGCTAGTATTGGGGCAAGGAAAAGCGGTGGGTTTAACTTTTCTATCACACGTACCTCTCTGTCATAAGACAAATTTATTCATAGTTGTATGGGGGGGTTATTCCATTTCATAAAAAGGCATAAGAATATTATGGGATATTCAGCATGCCATCTTACATGCTGTCCTGACATGACAGTGTTAGCAGGATTTGTGTCAAATCACTTCTCGGGTAACTTCATAGCTCCCAGGTTCCTGCCCAGCAGCACATAGGTACTGTCACTACCAGAGCACACTGACCTTTCCCTGCCTCTGCATACCTGACATTTAAAGTGGTCAAGCAGAGATCCTGCATATATTGACTGAGTAATAAGGAAGACTTCTTTTTTAACCCTTGCTTGAGGTAGTCATAACAGCTGATGGAAGAGCTGAGGTCTGTAACAAAGCAAGGCAAACACTTTTACTCAAGGCGAGAAAGGCGTTTATTCTGCTTTCAAGTGGGTGATTCAAAGATTCAAGAGTGAAAATGCATCACGCTTCATTATCAAATAACCTTTCAATGTACAACTCAACCAAGTGGTCCAGTGAGAAACAGGAAGTACCTGAGCTATGTCTGAAATCCCTAGGGAAACAAAGGTTTTGGGGGGAGAAGTTTTGGAGCCTTTGGGACCTCAGTTGAAAAAGTAGAAGTGAGTTACATGGTTTTATCCCATACAAACAGATGCGCCCTATTAGCATGGATGCTGAAACAACATATGTGACTGGTGGTGGCAGCTGCATAGCTCCATCCATGAGGCACTTCAGAGACTGTAACCGTGACAGGAAATTTCAGGGACAGTTTGCACTGAAAAGTGCTCATTGAGTCCTCAAAGAAAATGAGAGGGAGCTAATCCTTGTAATTAAAGGACTGCCAATAGGCTAGCCCGGCACAGCAGAGACACTCTTCTGCCCAAGCAGCATTTATACCCTGAGTGAGAGAAGTCTCACTGTTCATTCCCCAGAAGGGGGTCACAGTACCCCCTGAGAGGGTTAGCAAGAAGGATTAAATCTCCCCAAAGGGCTCTGTGAAGGAGGGGATCCATGAAAGCTCATACAGCCCATTAGCCAAACATAGATGGAAAAGCAGCCAGAAGGTACCTCTGTCTGCTCAGGGATGTTGGGAGGGTGCTGGGCAAGGAGAGACCATTAGCAGCATAAGGAGGTAACCATCACTCTCCAGCTGCTTCCTTTCACAAGCATTTGCATCTCCTCTGACTGTTCTGAGTGCTGATCTTCAATTTCCATTTCATCTTAGCTTCACCTACACTAACAGGGGTTTTGTGGCATCTGGCTGACATAGAAAGACTCCTTACCGAAGATGCAGCACGTCTAAACACCAGGGTAGTGGGGCACCTCGAGGTATGTCCAGCTCCCATTATGTTTCTGCAGAGTGTGCAATTCGAAGCTGCAAGGGCTGCTTTGGGAGATCACCTTGCAGAGGCCAGCAAAGGACAAAGTCTCTCAGGGACCCCTGTACCAAGGATGGCTTTCTGGTACCCAGCAGGGTATCGGCCAAACCCTCAGGGCCTGCCACAAACTGGGCTCGCAGAAGCAAGCTTACACAGAAACCCACACTTCTTTCCATGCTGTTTGTCCGCAGTGTTCCTCTGACACACCTGATGTAACCCACTGCTGAACTCCAGCTGCCTCCTATGCGGAGCAATAGGAGGGGAATCTCCAAAGGGCTTCGGCTGAGGTGTGGAGGAACCGATTTCTCTCCCTGCAATAAGCTGGTAATAAGACAAACTTGCAGGGGCAGACCGCGGGTTTGCCAAATTTACACAAATTAAGAATCATCCCATCAGTTCTTTAATTAGGACAAAATGTTGAGATCTTGGCTGTGTACTTAAGCAGAAGGTAGAACCATTAGTGGGGCTGTTATTTTTAATTACCAGTTCAGGGCTGAAAGAGCTATTTCAAATGCCAGCTGACGCATCAGAAATAACACTAAGTGCCCCTCAAGGCAGGAGTTTAATTATGCTTGAGCTTAATTATGATAGATGACATCACCGAAATACCTGTTTATTGTATTTGCCCTGGAATCCTAGTTGCAGAGAGGAGTACATTAGTACCCATCCAGGAACAAGTTTGCAAACCCATTTCTCCAACAGCCATAGGAATTCATAGACACACCTCTAACACAGCCCAGGTTATTTTGTTCTCTGATTTATCCTACCTTCTGAAGCCGCGGTGGGGAAAGCTTTGGACGAGGCTTCATTAGGCTTATTGTCTGTGAAGGACAAAAGAAAGGAAAAAAGAAAGATGAAAGCAGCCCTTTAAAGTAGCTCGGCTTTTGTCATAAAGGCTGGAAGTTTAGTTTGGGGTTTGTGTCATATTGTGATGACACACATCCTACAACATAGCTGAGAATTAAAGTAATTCTTTCTGTCGCATCGAAGTACATTAACGTCTTTATACAGAGCACGTCTATCTTAGCGTTGGCATGGCCTGCAGGGACGAATGCAGACTGTTCTAATTGACAGCTCTCCAACTCGAATATCTTTCTACTAAACTGTAAAATGGGTGAAATGAGTCATTTTGGAGGAAAATGATCATTTATCTCCTTTCCCTCCAAAGCTGTGTTTCCAGAGGAGTAAGCTCTGGCTTTTGATGCAGTCTTTGTGGAAATACATAGCAATGATCGTATCCACAAGTGAACACAGCTGAGCTGCGAGCAGTCACCACTCTATGTGATGTACCCTTGGAGGCTGCTAGGGGGTCAGCAGTTCAGTTGTGTTATCTGTGCAGCAAGGAGCATACATAGTAAGAAAGAAAAAGGTGTAACTATGCATTTGCACCTGAAGAGGAGGCATACACAAGAGGGTGCTAAAGGAAATCAGTCTGCCCTTCCCTGCATCCTCAGAAATGACATAAACCTCTGCACGGCCACGTTTTCCACACTTCCCTCTTCATTTAGCTAATTCTTATGGGACATGTTATAAGGGAGTTTCTCCATTGTCCAAAATGGCTCAAGTGGTTTTGGTTCAGCTGTTTCCAGGTGTCACTGGAGATGTACAACGCAGCCCTGACCGAGGGTTTGATACTCCAGAGAGCTACACTGCACACAGGCAGATTTGCTGCCACGAGTGCTCAGTGAGAAACACAGGGTTATAATATCTCACTAGTGCCATGTGGTTAAGCGAGTATATTTTGGGGTATGGGAAGTGCAGTAAGATTCAAATAGCAAGCATCTTATGTTTGTGCAGGAGTTTCTTAGCTCATTAAAAGGCTTGAGCTACAAACCACTGTTGGCAAGTTCAAGCTCTGTGATGAACTTGCACAATGCAACTTCCAGAGTCTTGGCATTTCTCTATATTTTGAATAACAGAGAACACATAGGCTTGGTGTTCTTATCATTTGACACTTCAGATGTGTCCTATCTGTGAAAAACCTACCGAAGGAAACAAATATTTCTTTTGATGAAATATTCCGTGTTCCATTCCCAAGGAAGGAAAACAGGCACGCACACAAGAACATCTTAGATGTCTGGTGGGTCCCTTGAAACACCAGCGTTGATCTCAGCTGATAGAAACCTTCACTGTCTTGCGAGTCTTCTTGCTCAACGGAAATTCCTTGGGGAAAGAGAAAAAGAAAAGGAAAAGCTGCAAAAGCCTCTCATTGCACTCCAAACCATAGATCAGAGCTGTGCAAAATACTGGTACTGAAAAGCAAGCTCATATGGCTGCAGGTTTGTTTGCTGAGACACTGTCAAAGGCTTGGCAAGAGCAGTGCAGTTATGCCAAGCCATCATTCCAACGACTGGCAATTCCAGGGGGATGTGGCCACAGCCGTTCCCTTTGAGGAGGCCTGATACTCTTCCTTTAACCCCGATGGATACCTACAGGTTCCCCACGGCAGGAGCGAAGGAGCACCCATTGCTTTTCCTGGGAATCTCTTCTACAGCTGCCCCATGATCCTACTGACAGGCTGTATTACCTCCAGGCTGCTCCGTCAAGCTCTCTCTGTCCACGTACCACACAAGGCTTGGCTTGGGAAATACCTTCCTCATGATGCAGGTCACGTTAGGCTATGGGGCAATAAAAGCCAGTCGTTAATCTCAGCCACTTCTCACCTGGCTGCCAGCTTCCAAACTCCCTTACAGACAGAGCTGATTTACCCCCCATCCCACTCGCTTCCTCTTTATTGTTCTACTTCTCTCCCTCATACCCCCTATATTTCTGGTTGCAGACACCACTGAATGAGAGCCAGGGACAGCCCCATCATGATGGGCCAAGTGCAGGGTGATGGGGCTTTCAACACCCTCCAGTCCCATGCTGTGGCTGGAGAGATGTAGGGTAAGCCCAAACCCTCCTGTTCCTCTCCCATTATCTCAGTGACAAACACCCACATGGAGAAACACAGGAATCAGCAGTGGGCTGAGACACCTCCTGGTTGGCATCTAAATCCTTCCTGCATTACATAGAGACAAATCCCATGGAAAAAGACTGCTTAGCACAATGATGTGCTGAATGTAGAAATTCAGATACCTTTTTAGGGAGCATGATAAGAGATTTCCAGAAGTCACAAGGATTTGCTTGCTTTGCATGCAGTAGTCCTGTCGGTATGGTAACTGCTCCAAAAATCTGTGTGTGAATTTCTCATCAAGAAATAGGTGGGAAGGACCTCAAAATCAAGGCTGGATGAAGGGCTGGGTACTAGCAGGGTGGGAGGTCTCATCCTCATGCTCCCTGGATGCTCCCAATTACATTTACTTAGCACATTATGGTACTAAGAGAAATTGCCTTGTGCATTCAAACAATAATTAAAAAGCAAAGAAGAAAGCATGTGCTACCCATGTAGCACAAAGCCCTCTTGCTCCCACTTTCAAAGAAAGAGGCTAACACCTTCAGTTCAAAGCAAACTTGATTCATTATAGCCAACAGAAGTCAATCATTCACTATGAAGACTGAAACTACCTGGCTGAAACTCTTTCCTAGCCATGGTGAATAACCTCTGAATGCGTAATGCATTTGCTTTCCCCTCTTATTTTCATTATTCCCTTATTTTTCAGGCACTTTGCATTAATAATATCTTTATAAATGCTGCCTATGAAGAAATACAAGTCTGACATCCACAGTAGACTTAAGCCCTGCAAGAAAGGGTGGAAAAGAGAAGGAAAGGAGTTGGTGTGTGTTTGGAGGTGAAGAACAGAGAGTTTCTATTGCCTGGTCCCACGATAGCAGCACCGCTTGCTTGCTCGACAGGACAGTGAAGACAAAAGCCTGCAACGTCCAACACTACATCTGGAAATAGGTTACCAGGGAACTTTTGCATAACCAGCTGCCTCATGGCTTGTCTGAAGCAGGTGGCTATGGCTGATAAAAGGTTCTGCCTACCCACAAGCATTTTCCAAGGAAACCTTCCAAATTAACTTGGATGCTCACAGATCAAAAGCTGTAACCCGGATGGATGCAACAGGAAGCAAAGTGCCATACCTGGTAGCCAGAGTGGCTTGCTAGTCAATCATATGGGCCACAAATACGTTTTATGCCAAGTACAGCCAGCACGGTGCAGCAGACCTTCAGTATTTGTCATTACCAAGTATGTGGTAAAACAGAGACCCAAAACCACATGTCTAACTGTTTAGCTGTAAATAGGGGCCCTCAGATCCAGTCATTCCATTGGCATCTGCTTGCTTCAGCTGTGTTGTGCTTGCTCCAGCTGTGCTCTTGCTCCAGCTGTGTTCTGCTTGCAGCACAACATGAGCATCACTCATTCATTTAAACACGAGCATCACTCCCACAGCACCTGCTCCTCCCTGTCCCAGTGGGGTTGTGTGGCAGATGGGGGCTGCCACTGCCTGGCCCCTTGGAGCAGCATCCCAGGTAGTGGGTGACTTCTTCAGAGAGGGATTTAAAGCGCTGTGGAGAGGGCAGCTCGAGGCTGCCAGGTGGTTGCTGGCAGATGGGAAGGGAAAAGAAGCATCACAGCCTCCTGCAATATCATCAGCTCCTCACAGCCTCTCGATCCTGTCCGGGAGCCTTCACATGAGTAACACAAACCCAGATTTTGCCCACATACCAGGGAAGCCCTTAGCTAGCTCCAGTTTGTCCTCACTGGAGCAGCTCACTGCTGTGGGGATGGGAATCATTCAGAAGAAAGGGCATGGATGGCTGATATTAACTCATTGACTTGCTCATCACCCTGTGAGCTTGGTCTGTTTGGAGGTCCCTGATTCAGCTTAGCTTGGCTGGCCCTGCCGGGGTGGCACAGTGGTGGTCACAAGCATTATTCTTCACTCACCTTGTCTGAAGTGCCAGCAGCACCCTCCTGCAGGCCAACAGAGATCTCGGGGTAGGCTGGAAAGCAAACAGAATTGCATTAGTTAAGTGGATGACACGGGTCACAGTAACAGCTTCTAATAAGGCTTAACAGCCTCGTTTCATGAAGAGTGGAAATTAAAGCCTACATCCACGCACACATCCAGCAAGATAAAAGCCTGCACAGCTCCGATTTGAGGCTGAGGAAGGGGTTTCCAAGCACGTACCAGTAGCTGCTGCCACAAGATCTATCACGTATGTCGCTGCCTACCTGAACTACTCTTGGGTGGCTTTGCTGGAGAAACGAGCTGAAACCATCCTGCAGCCATGGCTCTGGCTGCAGAGCCACCCTTCATAGGCCTGCTGAAGTAAAACACTTCCCACTTGTTGGTTGCTCTGGGTGTTTGCCAAAGTCACCTATGAAGGCTTTAGGCATCCCCAAAATGACTGATTCGCATAGCAATGACTATCCCCGTGCAGTTGTGGGGGCAGATGTATGGCAGTGTCAGACTACAGATGCTTCCTGCCTTGCTGGGAAGCCCAGAGCTCACCTTCACATCACAGCAGCGGGTTTCTGATGGCCACCACATGCACTACAGATGGAAAACGTCTTTCCTTTTGTTTCCACAGCATTTTGGTTCTAGGCATGGCTGACTCTCTAGATAAAAGTCATCAGGTACGGTAAGCCTCTCTAAGCTGGCATTAGCCATTGGGGTTGCTGGTTTGCAGTGCTATTAACTGACTTGTTAAGTAAGGACTGTTGAAACTGTGCTAATATACAGTAAATCTCAAAAGTTTTGGATAAAGACTTGGATAAAGGTTGGACAGAGCCTTGGGTGACATGGTTTAGTGTGAGGTGTCCCTGCCCATGGAGGGGGTTGGAACTGGATGATCTAAAGTCCTTTCCAACCCTAACTAGTCTATGATTCTAAATTGCACTTCTGTCCCTTTCTGAGCCTTAAAACTGGACCGGAAACAAGTGCAGCCCCTTAGGAGATCCAGGCTAACCCTCACTTTAATCTTTATCATTAAGATATTTTTTTCCCCCTTTTTTACTAACCCTGAAGTTACCCTTTTTTCCCCCCCTTCTGGTTTGTTTTTGTTTGGTTTCTGGTTTACTTTGGTGGTTTCTTCCTCTCAGAAAATGGATGCCTTAAGATTATATCCTGGTTTCTGCCTTGCCAAAACTGTACAGGTGGTAGTGGGGCCGGCGAAAGACAACCATACTTTTTCAGCTGCAAGAAAAGATCTGGTACACTGGATCTTCTAATCTCAGCTGAAAGTTGGCTGGGAGACTAAATAAAACCTAGTCTAGTGCCTGCTCTTCCTTTTGTTTTTTTGATGATGAGAACAGGCACCGCTGAATAAGAGAATACCAGGTTAGAAGGGACCTCAAGGATCATCTGGTCCAATGTTTTTAGGCAAAGCATGACCTAGACTGGGTGTCCCAGCACCCTGTCCAGCTGAATCTTAAAGTATCCTAACGCTGGGTACTCCACCGCTTCCCTGGGGAGATTATTCCAATGGCTCATTGTTCTCACTGTGACAAATTTGCCTCTTGAGTTGAGGCAGAATCTCCTGAGGAGTAACTTGTGCCCGTTACCCCTTGTCTTTTCCATGGGACTCCTTGTAAAAAGGGGTCCCCAACTTTGTTGTAGTCACCATTTAAATACCAGAATATGGTGATAAGGTTTCCCCTGAGCCTTCTTTCCTCTAGGCTGAACAAACCCAGTTCTCTCAGCCTTTTTCTCACACACCAGGCTTTCCTGTCCTCTGATCATCTTTGTGCCCTTCTCTGGACCCTCTCCAGCCTGTCCACATTGGTTTTGTATAGCCAGGACCAAAACTGAGCACAGTATTCCAGGTGTTGCCTGGCAAGCTCTGAGTAGATGCAATGCTTCTCCACATCTGTACAGGACGCTGCCCTCTGCTTGCTTTGAAGACATTTGCTGGGTAACTGTTCTGGCAGGCAGCTCTCAAGCACAGCTCTGAATGATCCAATAGATCTTTTCCACTTAACATCTCCAGCCCCTGTTAATAGTTTGACGTTCATTTGTCTTGCTGGGATATTTACCAACATTTTGGGTCTAGCAGAAATTCAATATTCAGCGCAGCAGTTTCTGCTGCTGAGCTCTTACAAAAAGGAGAAATCAATGTGTGGCAAAGTTAGACGTGAAAAGAGCATACATTTTCTCAGAAACTTGTATTTAAAAGGACTCTGTTATAGAAAAGAAATACTTTAAAGCGTTTCAGCCCAGAAGTGCCCTCTTAAAAAAAGCTTTCTTGATTGAATGTCTGTTTTCACTCAACCTACCAAGCCTCTCAACTTCACTGAGATTTGTTCATGCCTTCCTCATCCTCTACTGCCCCGCTCTCAGACATACTCAGGCCATCTCAAGCCTCTGTGAGGAAGCATCGCTTCCGCTTCTCAGGCTTGGGCTGTGTTTAGCCCAGCAGCTTTTATCAGAGGGATCCGGCACAAGGAGCTTCCCGCAGGTGACAGACCTTCCCTCTCCTCCTCCTGCCTATTGCAGCACCATGGTGCACTAGCTGCCTGCCCTCCCTGCCCTGCTTTTGTGCCACCCAGCCCATGTGGTTCAATTGCACGAGTGTTTGGGTGATGAGGTTGTTGGCTTGCTAAGATGGGAGAACCTCCCCAGGTTTCAGTTTGCCTTTGTTCTCCAGCTACATCATTGCTAATGGCCAGGATGAGAGATGTAACCAATATAATGTGCTGTTGACACTGTGTGTGCTTACTACTGTGCTTAGCATCCTGCCTTGGCTATTTGAGCCTTCATATAACTCTGCTCTTGGGATGCCTGTGAGAGAGGCTGACTGCACAGCACCCCAGTCCAAAGCCAGCCAGCCCGTACTGGGAGTATCACAGGCAATTCACCACCAAGGGCCACAGCTGCTTTCTCCTGTTTGCCTCTCTGTGCTGTTGTACTGATGTACTGATCTGAGTGCATGCACAGACAACCATACGTGACACAGTAATTCAGACAATAAGCCAAATAAAACGACCTCTTTGGGCAGCAGATACCAGCATAACAGCAAAAGCATCAGTAGGGATGAAGGGGAAGGAGAGCTCAAGTACGCTAGTATACTTGAACAATTACCCAGGTAACACTGTATCTAGTTGACAAATGCTGATTTGCAAAAGTAAAACCCATCTCTGAATCATACAAATGCAAGAGGAAATTTCAGATCATTAACTTCTATTTTTACTTCTCTTGCATCAGTGACCAACATCTCCCAGACACAGGTTTTACTGGGGTTTTTTCTCTTGCTGCTCCCTGTTGACAGACCCACTGTTTAACACCCATTCGGTTTTGAGGCATTGGAAATATGTTTTCCAGACACACTGCTCAAAAAGTGGGCAGCATTTTTCTGATTCAGTTGTACCTCAACAATTGTAGAGTAGCTCCTAAGACACTAGAAAGGGATTAGAGCAAGGAACTAAAGATGGGGAAGTCTTCCATCATGAAATGCCAGCCCACACTTTTGTGCTACACGGGCCCTGCCGTTCCTAAGCACTTTGAGACCCACAGGCAGGACTTCACTTTCAGATCCAGAGCCCTTGGCAGCAGTTGAACACCACATACTTTCAGGGATGTGGCACTGCAGTAACAGTAGTTCCAAAACACTTTACCTGCTTGCTACATTTTGGCTGTGATTTCCTAACACAGGCAGCATGGTCATTTTGCACTGGGGCATGGAGGTCTTGATGACCAAGGTGCTTACCTGTAACCTGCAAAGTGCCAACATAAGCTTACACATCAGGGTGAGATAGTGGCAATGTGCATGCCAGTGGTGGTGATATAAACACAGCGGTTCTACATCAGAAGTTGGAGGAATGGCCTCAAATTCTTCCTAAGAATCACGGGGTTATTTATTAACATTTTAACTCAATGCAGCTGAAAAGAATGTAATGTCAATATTTATATGTAAAAAAACCTCAAACAGCGTATTTCAGAAGCTACTGCTTTCAGAACCAGACAGGAGTGTTACCTTTCCAAGTGCAAGTGAATGGGCAGCTGGTGTAAGCCTCTTACCGAATACTCTCACAGTGGTGCTGCTCTTCTGGACTCTCTCCGGATGGGACACCACATGGCAGGAAAAAACCTTGCCATCGTCTGTGATTTTGATGGGGAAAATCTTTAGAGCATTATTCAAACCCAGGTGGAATCTCTGCCCATAGAGCATGCTGCTGTTCCTGTACACTGCAGCACAGGAGGGCTCCTTGGTTACAAGTTCCTCTTTTGTGCCATTTTGCTCCTGTAAAAAGAGCAAAAATAGGTGAAGACCAGAATCTCTTCGTTCCCCTATTTTTATAGATCAACCCTATTCCCACTATGAAAATCTTCCCTTGCACCCCTAGCATTGCATAGCAGTAAGGGGACATTTACAACATCTATTTCTTTCCAAATACGCTCTCTCTCAGAAGTTCAAAGTCAATAGTGGTCATCATCTTACCAATAACTATAGAGTAAATAGCCGTGCCTTGTAAGTCCTGATCTCTGTAGCCTGCAGAGAGGGCATCAGGGCCGCTTTCTCACTGCGGCAATCTAAGTTATGCTGAACATCCTACACACAGTAAATGTGACTGAAATTCCAAGAAAAACCTTGGGGTTTTAGATTTTAAATAGTGAGAACCTGATAACGATATCTAAAAGTCATCTTTTAATGCCTAAGTGGCAGCCACCCTTAGACATAGGTGCAACCTGCACATCCTGGATGTCTGTGCCTCAGTACGTATTTGCAAGCTGTACTCTGAATGACTCATGGTGACCCACATGTATCATCATGCTGACTTTTGGGTTCTTTCCCCTTCACTTAAAAGTAGTAAGAGCAAGGATGTTCCCTTCAAAGAACTGGTAGAACTTTAATCTGAAGAATGCACTGCAAAAGGCAGCTCTGGATAGAAAATGAGCCAGGACAAAAGACTGAAAAGCCTAAAGCACTTGTAAATCACCTTTAAGAAACCCCTCAACAGTTACAGCACCTCGGTGACAATAAATAGAAATGAACAGGGTCAAGCTCAAGGATACTGATGGCTGGTACTTATCTCTACGTACTGAGATTAATACTAAAACATTCCATTAAAACACACACATGCAAATATTTATCCAGAGAGTGGGATGCAGTACGGAAATATAAGGAGCTTTATAGCTCACAGCAAAGTGTTTAACATAGTATTTATGTGGTTAGCTAGAGAACCGGGTTAGCATGTGTCGGCGTGTATCTGTGATACAGAGGTTAACCAAAACATTGCAGCCACCTTCTTTTTCTCCTTTTCCTTTCTGTTTCAAAGCTGCTTGATATCTCACTACCCTACATGGTAACCCTGTGTTTTTCAGAGATACCAAAGCTTCACTACAGCAAAAATCCCTGGGAAATCCAACATAAGGAACAGTTTAGCTCTATTTGGCCCTTTCCACATACCTGTTCTACAGGCATTACTGAAAAATTAAAAGCAATTAAGATGGAGTTTTGCCTCTCTGCTTCTTGAGCAGCTATTGTTTGTGGTGTCTATGTTGCAAACCCGTGTTTGTACTTTTCCCCTTTATTATCGCAGTCCAACATGACCAGTATCTTTTGTTTGGCAGGTTCTGCAGGACGCAATAAAGTCTATTTCCATCTGCCAAACTACCCTTCTGGAATGTAAGCCTGACAGGAAGAACACTTACCACGAGCCATTTCAAAGGATAACGGGACAAACTTTCTGAGGCCGTGTCCCCAAGGCATGGAATTTCTAAAGTCTGGTTTAACCACACTTCCTTCACGGCGTGCTGCTCCTCTTTTATCATTGCAACGACAGCAAAAAAAGCCAGAGAAGGAAAATCAGAAACGTGACATGCACTGTGCTTTAGAAAACAATATTGACTGGTCTACTGTTCAAGGAACAGGCACTTTTGATTAGAAGACTACTGTAATTTTCAACCACTACCCACAGGTACATGTGTTAAGTGAAATCTCTGCATCTGATTCTAGATGCAGTTGCATGACTAATTCATGGCTTTACCTGAAACTTTGGGCATTTCACGAAAACCAGTGCTTCAATTCAGGATCAAGGTGTCTCATTTTGGAGCTGAGAGCAAGTTGAAGCTTCAATTTTTCTCCTTTTTTCTTTCCTTGGCAATAAACCTTCACATCAATTTTGCGCGCTTGTATTTCCTTTTCTCTGTAAACCTCCTTTCACAAAGCAAGGTGTTCAGCACGTCAGGCAGGCTGAGATTAACCCTGGTTTTCAGTGTAAGTGCTCCTGTTGTTATTCTCCAACCTGCCCATTATCAGGAGCAGAGAGCTTGCCACTCTTTCCTTTGTCATCGGTTCATAAAAGCATTTGGATACCTCCTACCCTACCCCATTCCCAGTCCAGAGTTCCAGACCACCTGTGGAAGGGGCAGGGTGATGCACTGATCAGAACACAGCAGTGGTCCAAGCATCAGGTCTGCATGTGTGTGTGCACTGAAACAGCAAGAGAAGCGGTGATGGCCAGGGGATGCTAGGGGTGCCTTGGTGAGCATTAATCCCTCCGACCATTAGTCTGACCATTAGTGGTCACACCATGCAGCCTGCCCTGGTGCCATCACTGTGCTGCCCAGGCCTGCCTTCCCTCTTCTTCTAGGCAGGTACCTGCAGACACCACTGGGAAACTCCTGAACTTTGCTCCCCTGGTAGCTCTACTTGTCTGGTGAGATAAAATAGATGCATACTCTAACTACCTGTTTAATCTTGAGGGGAAGGGCAATATCTAACAGGTCTGGACTGTTTGGTAGTGGGGACTTGCTGGTGACTGTAACTTCCTATATGTCTGGCAACCAAGCACAGAGTGACACTGCAAGCACACAGCCTGAGCCACAGGGACACAGAGAAAGGCAGTGCTCAGTGGAGCCCAGGAGACCCAGTGCCAGAAGCAGCTTCTCTCCGCTTTCCACTCGAGACAAGCAGTTGAGGAGCCAGCTATCACAGTGGGACAGGGCATGCACAAGCACTAAAGGGGCTGGATAGCGCAGAAAGGAAAGAGAAAGGGCAGAGAAAGCAAATCCATGGCTTCCCAAGAAGAAAACAGCACAGGAGACTTTGCTGGGACAAGTTACTGTGCAAATGTGCCATGGAGCATGCAGGAAGTATGAAGATGAGTAGCTGCACCAAGAGTTCAGCCTGCAAAGAGCCTCAGCCTGTTCTCACAGTCACGTTTCCCAGGTGCTGTTTCCCCTGTCTTTGATTCCCTTCTCCATTAACAGCATGTTGGCTAAGGTCCTCCCTGTTTGTCAGTCCTACCTAGGCCTGTTGCTCTGCGGGCTTTGCAGTGCCTCCAAGTTGAATCCATCTGGATTCACTTCACTTTGATGTAGTCAGGTGCTGTACTTCATTGGTGACTAGTACTCCTCTCCACCACACTTGTAGGCTGGATTGAGATCATTTGCCTTTTTGAAGTGATTTATTGCAGAAGATCTGGTTACCTTAAAATACAGATCTTCAAGAGGTATGTTGAGAAGTGATTTTTCTTAGTTCCCTCTAATCAAGCAGTTACTAGTAGCACAGCTTGCTACATCATGTAGTTACTGAAAAAAAGCCACAATGACGTCTGTATGAATAAGAACTGCCCACGTTTAACATGTAGACAACAATAACAACACTGAGCAGGCCAGTATCAACAGAGAGCACCAGCAAGAGAAAAGGAACAATGCCTAATTAGCGCTATTATTGTATTAAGGAAGAGACAAACTGCATGAAGAACAGAAGCTGCATGTGGTTACCAGCACTACTTGTACCAGGATAACAGCACCAAAGTGCTTTAAGCCACTGCCATGCAGGTGCCATCAGGGAGCAAGGGTTTGGGGTGAATGTCTCTGTGAACGAGGCTTACACAGGGCCTCTTCCTGCTGCAGGATGGATGCAACCCAGCATGGGGACCTATGTCCCTCCTGCCACTAGTCTGGCCTCATACAGGCCAAAGAGGTGGTGGGAGCACTGCTACCCTCTGCTACCCCAACATCAACTGCACCCACCCTGCTCCTAACCTTTGAATGGGTGCTGTATCTACAGCCCTGGGCACAAGCAGAGCGAGCACGTTGGCCTTGCAGCTCTTAACTGAAACCATGCCAGGATTTAGTTTAATCCTTCTTGGCTTGTTAACAGAAACCTGGGTCAGGAAGAGGTTTCTGGGGGCCATCAAATTCAGTCCCCCATGTGCACAACAGCAAGCTTGCCCAGCATCCCTGCCCACCTCCATCTTCACGGCAGTTTGGACTTTTGCCCTCACTGCTGGCATTAAACAGCTGTTCCCAAATTGCTGCACTAAATGGTTGCCACCCTTGTTTAATTTGTAGTCAAATCCACTCACGTCCTGTTTAAACCCATTTGTTCCTTTGCCAGGATAATTTAAATATCCTTCCTGGAGTTCACACTCTCCCCTGAGGCTTACTTACCAAGAGCAGTCATGCTGCTTTCCAGCATCCTTTTGGCTGACAGAAGCAGCCACATCTCTGTTCCTGTGATTGTTTCAAGCAATTCCCCGCTTTGCTCCAGTTTGTTTTTCATTGTGGGACACATCCCTCCATGGAGCTAACACCTAACGTGCCCAGCAGATACCAGCTCTCGGCCTCAACCAGACTAGGCTGTTTGTCTCTCTCTGGTGCTCAGGGCTGCATGCCCATAGTAGCAGAACAGCATGGTTTGGAGATCCGGCATCCTCCATCATCTCAGCATCCAGTCATCTCTGCAGCATTTTTCTCCATAATGAAAATGTAGAAACTGCCCATCTCACCATTCCCATCTAACTTTGTATTCCTCCAAATAAATAAGGTTTCCTAATCATGAGCTAGGTAACAACAGTTAGAGAGCGCCTGGTGAGTAGCAAACTGTGTAGGCAGTGCTGTTCAGTGGCACCGGTGCAAACCCCAAAGAAGTCACCATCAAAGACTAAGAAATGTTAATGATATTCCCCCACCCCTTTACCCCCATCCCCTGTTACAAAAACCCCAGCATCCCATTCATAACCACTTACCTTCTGCCTTGACAATAAGCTGGATTTTTGCAGCCTTTGTCCCATAAGGGTAAGTAGCAAAACTGCACTCATACTGCCCGCTAAGGGAAATGGTAATGTTTTTCAGATGCAGAGCCCACCGACTGCATTCGGACTTGGCATTTGGATCAGGGGAACACAAAGCCTCTGTCTCATCCCAGCTGCAGCAGCTCCTCGTGCTGAAGGACACCGAGAAGTTGTAAGAAGCCTCAGGAAAGGTGAAGTAGTGGGTGCCATAAACAGGGTGATAAACAGCTATTCTGGTAAGCTGTGTGTCATCAGTCTTGGACCACTGTGTCTGTATGATGTAGGTGGCATGTGGTTTTGGGAAGCCGCATACCAGGGTCACGTCGGTACCTGGCAAAGCCTGGACTACTTCTGTTTCTGTAATGACATCTTCAGGCTGGCCTTAAAAGCAAATGGGACAATTTTCAGTGCAAGTAATGTTTAAACAAAGCTTCTTCCTAGGCCATCTTTGATGTGATTTGGTCCCTTAGGCACAGGCAACCATGCAGACCCTGCAACTGTAGAAACAGGCTTTGCAGGGAAGAGGTTTACACATCTCCACCGGCAGAGACTTCAGAGGGAGAACAGGGAGAGCAAACACACGGTTGTCTGGAAGAGGGCAGGGAGCTCCCATCGCACTCACAGGAGAGAAATGGGAACCCTGAGTCCCTCTGTGAAAATGGAAATCTTTCATGTGATAAAAATAAAGCAGAAGCCAGGCCCAGTTATGCCCCAGCAATTTTAGCAAGAACAAATGAATTATCCCTGCTGGCTGATTCTGCCCTGCACTGTTCCTTCCGTCCATTATCATTGTCTTCACTGCTTTGACAGAGAAACCTGTCCTTCTACCTCTGTGTTATTAAACAGCTCCTGCATGACCTGAACAAGTGTCTGTTAAGGCGTCAGAGTGAGCTGTATGGTTTCTTCCTCATTTAATTTCATACAACATGTTGGCAGTCCTTAGTGTGCCATATAAAGGAGTAATGGATGGGTGAAATGAAGGGGCTTTCAACGGGAGCCTATACTACTCAGTTTTGCTGCTGCTGTAGTAACACTGATTTCTTGCTGCTTCTCCCTCCTATGAACAAGAAGCTCACAGTCCCCAAATCCCTGTATGGAGGGCACTGACAGACTCAAGGAGATGAAGAATTTATGGATGGGGTGTTGTAGTAATCAGACAAGTAATCAGTCATAGCCACAGAGCCGTTTCCAAAGGAGCATGTGAGTCCCCATTAAAAAATGTGCTTGTGCAGATGTTCTTAGGTACAGACTTGCTGCTCCCTGTATCCATTGGATTTTATCCTGTGTATCAAAACAACACTGCAAATTTGCTTTGAGAACGTGCCCCACAGTCCCACCAGCCATGCTGCTGACTCCCCATGGCAGCAAGTGCACGCTGCTCATCTTCCTTACTTGCTAAAAGTGGGTACCAATTTCTTTGCTTTGACATCTGCTTTACCCCGTGGTACAGGGCTCTGGGATACCTGAATCCAGGGACCCTCCCAGGGACCAGGCAGCCTCAATGATGCCTGCAGGTGGCCTGGTGTGCCCCATACTCGGCCAGCAGAGCCAGGAGCGAAACAGGGACCTGGTGCACCCGCAGCTCTGGTTTGACAGGAAAGAACAAGGGCACAGTCCCATATCCCTGCAGAGCTGGCTGAGATGTGGTACCTAAGCACTGAAGGGTGACATGAACTAGGTGCATGGAGAGCAAAGCTACTGGATGGCCATGCCCAACACTAATCTCATTATTTTTATTGCTGTGCATGCTCTGCTCATCTTTTAATTGACTCCCAAGAGAGGGGATAATGTAAAAGGGCAAATAAAAATAAGCCTGAGTGACAAGTGCTGTGAGAAAAATTACTGAAAACTATTTCTGTCAGTCCAAAGAGCTTATTATAGCAAGTGCTCATTGATTTCAGTGCAAGTTTTGCCTCAGGAAAAGTTGAGGAAAAAGCCATTAGCAATCTTGCAATCAGACTAACCAGCAAGGGCCACCTAGCAAATTAGCTCTCATATTCATACCAATGCTGTAACAAGTTAAAGGACCATGTGAAGAATGCCTACCAAGAGTTACTGGAATAAATTTACATGAAGATGAAAACATTACACATGTAGAAACAACATTTAATTTGTGTTGCTCGTTAGTAGCCTCGCACTATTGTTTTAACTGAAACCCATTAATGTTAAAGCATTCTTAGCTTTTTGTTAGCATCTCAATATAATGAGTCTCATTTTATGCCAACTTGATTTTTCCAAACGCAGCTGCCCATACTTGTGCTCCATTTGAAGCTTAATAGAGTAACTCCCAAACGTTTACACGTCTGATCTCCATCAAGGGCACGATGGTGTCCATTTTCACCTTTGAGGGGTTTCAGTGAGGATTTCATCCTCAGAGGAAAAACCCAGCAGTCCTATTCATCCCTAAAGAGCATTGCTTTCCTGCATGTGCATGTCTTGAGGAGTCTAATTCTTTCTTATTATGCTTTTCTTTTGCATTTGAGAACTTTCATTTCCTATGAATACACATACTAAATACTTTCTTTTAAAATCCATTTTGCCGCAGTGATGTAGAAAAATAGGAAGAGATTTTGAGATGCATCTTACCACAGCAGTCAAACACGTTAATTTGTTCCTTTCTTAATTGGGAAAAACGTGTATCCTACAACGTTCTTCTTCCTAGCTGGCAATAAGCACTGCTGCATTCAGCGTGGCCAGTCTGTTGTAAGAGTTCTGTGTGGAGGGGGTTGTGAGCATCAGGCTTTTTCCTGCTTTTCCTTAGATTGTTCTGGTTTAAACTCCCTTGGACGAGGATGCGTTTCTCCTTACTCAACTTTCCTGACAGTTTTACTCCCACTGACAAACTTGTTTCTCTTGTTTCTCAGTCTTTTTAACACTGCACAGAGGGCTGAGTGGGGAAGAGGAAGGGAAGGATCTATTTAAGGGGCCGCAGCAGTACAATTTACCCTTGCCTTGAAGTGTTTCAACTCTTCCTCTCTCTGCGTACACAGGTATGCATGTGTGTGTAAGAGAGAGATTTTTTATTTGCTCTTTACAAGCAGTTTTCCTGTTTGCCCATTGGAGATGAGCACAAATTGCCCTAAATACAACTGAGCTCATCTCAGTGATAATTCCGGTGAAAAAATGGTATTTTGAATAAACTAATCTGCGTGTCAGTGCAACCCATTTAGTCCTTACTGGCTGCACGTTATAACTGGGGTTAGTGGAAAGTTGTCAGGAAACAAAATCATTGCTAGCAGCTACAGCTTGCCCTACCGAGACATGCTGAGCCCAGCCTGCACATGCCACCCTGCCCCTTGCCACCCTCTGTCATCAGCTGAGTCAAGGGGGCCCATTGACATGCTTACCTGCAATGCTGGCCACCAAGAGCAAACAAAGGAGGGAGAAGAGGCACCTTTTTCCCATCCTCACCCGACGATGCTTTGGTAAACACGTAGCTCTCTTGCCCTGCTCCTTGCAGCGTCTCTGAAAAGGAAGTTGAAATGGTCTGCCCCGTGCAGACAGGCAGATGTGCAGCACAGTCATGCTCATCGTTTTAGTGTGACTTCAAAGCAGATGTGAAAGCCTCAATTTCCTGCCACAGCGATAGAATTAGCACATCTTGTGAAACCTTTATGTTGAAAACACTACCTGTACTCTAAGCCCATGTTGAAGACCTGTATTTTTTGTGCTTTGTCTTTTCAAATAAGCTCAGAGTGAGCAGTTTACTGGTTTGCAATCTCTCAAACACTTGTCTGGTGACTAAGGTTGAATATAGGGTAGGTAGTGTACAAAAAAGGGGACTTTCTTTGCCTGCTTCATTTCCTTCACTGTGTTAGTCCAAAATAGCTCAATTATGTTATTCTTACATTCTCTACGCGCAGGTTAAAATTATGCTGGGTTTAAAAACCCCGGCGTAACAACAAAACCAATGCCCCTACATTAAAACAGAATAAATTGAGAGTTTTCCAACTTCACCTTACTTATTCTTTCTGTTTGTTTTTTTTTTCCTCCAGAGAAGGACACCATTAATTATTTTGGGCAGGATGAAGAATTACAGCACCGCACAACACCATCACTTGGTGTGGTTAACCCCTGTTCCTACCCCATTCAGCTGGTAGCTTCGGTAATGGCAGCACCCTCAGGCATGGACTGGTTCCTGCCAGTCCTGTGACCTGTCTTTATTGCAGGACAACTGTAAATCCTTCCAAACTGTCCTTGAAGCACATCATGTTTCATGAACTAGGCATACACCTATCAGTTATGCATCTCATTGGAGGCAAGTGCTACGTAAATTGGACCTTGTGTTGTGGCTTTTCAGAAAGCCAATTACAGCCCATCCGTCAGGGCATAGAAAGCCTATGTCCTGGATCATGGAATCGTAGAATGGTTTGGCTTGCAAAAGACCTTAAAGCTCATCCAGTTCCAACCTCCCTGCCATGGGCAGGGACACCCTCCACAAGACCAGGTTGCTCAAAGCCCCAGCCAACCTCATAGTCCCTCAAAGAGGCACCTACATCCACTACCAGTGCCCTCCCTTGAGTCCACAGCTGTATGATGGGAGTCTTGACATGTTGTTTCTGAAACAACTTATAGGAGACCTCGGTGCTTTTGTTGGCCACTTTCTTCAATGATAATCCTCTCTGCACCTCAGACAAGGCCTATGGAAAGCGCCAGCTGCCACCTGCAAACTTGTTTCCAACCACTTTCCATTTCCTTCCCCTCTGCCTGCTTTCACTGACCATGGAGCTCTCCATAACTCCACCATGCAAGGCACAGAGCTCAAGGTAAAGAAGCAAAACCTCACTGGTCATGTCTTTATTTTATACACTACCACAACATCTATACCACTTCCTTAATTTGTCCATATGCAACCTCTTGTTAGTGTGTTTAAGCAGGCTAAGGTCTTCAGCTGGAACAGCTTATAGTGTTGGCCAGGCTATGGTCAGGCCTCCAGACATGTCTTTAGGGGATAAATGCTGCTGCATAGTGCTTTTCTGTTTGCATTGCTCCCCTTCCTGAGGAAATGTGCTAAAAGCAGTCATAGTACTGGATGCAGGGGTTACTGCTAAGGGAATTGTCTCCGAGGATGAAATCTCTGCTTGTCACTCAGAAGCCTGACAGAGAAAGATCTGCCTCAGAGGATCAAGAAGTCCTGAAGTTGAAGACGAACAGAATATTCAAGCCATTGTAATTGACAGTCACAGAAGGGAGTAAATGTTATTAAAGATGCATGCTCTGGTTTCCAGTTCAGAGCAGAGAACACAAAGAACCCAGGGTTTACCTGCAGATACTGGAGTCCAACAAAACTGGACTTCAGTTTAGAATTTGGGCTTTCATAAGGGAGTGCAGTTACCTTAGCTTCTCCTGCTGATCAGTTCATGTAAGCTTTGTACCACCAGAGAATGTATTTTGTGTAACATGTGGAAGAGAAAAAAGTCTCAGATGAGCCTTTTTATTGATCTGAAACATGTATCACCGTTCAACAAGACAGCCCAAGTGCCATGTGGCATATTCAATAGCCACAGAAATTCCTGAGCAGCTTGTTTGAGTTAGAAGATAGCTGTGTCTTGCCCTTAGAATTTGTTTCCCCCCTTAAAATAACATCCTAAAAATACACTGCTGCCACGTTGCATTGTGTTGGCTGAATGCAGCCACCCAGTGTAGTCGCTGTGCTTAGAGATGAAAGACAAGAGGGAAACCTCCCGGCTCAATGGGTTTTTATTCACTTCAGAAATGTGTTTTGCCCCAATTCCTACCTTAATCCCAGGATCTGAAACAGTCATTCACCCCTCTGCTGACATGAATGTGAATGAACAGCTAAGCCCTGCCTCTGAACACGACATCAAGAAACACTTTTGAGACACATCGCTTAAGTCTACTGGCAGGGATCCATCTCTTCCTAGGGAAGACACATGCCCAGGCACAGTGGACCTCATTGGCAGCTGGAGGGGGGACATATCTGTAATTGTCTTTTCCTTGATGGGGCAGCTGCAGGGATGTTTGTCTCAGAGGCGGGATGCAGGGCTTTTTCCATCATGGTACGTGTGCTGTTCCAGAGAGACCCAGAAACCATTGCAAAGCTAGGAGGTTTTAAAGGAAACGAGGCTACACCCGGACAAACAACATGTTGTCAGGGCATACGTGAAGCACAATGCTTGCTTTTGGCCTGGGCAAGCAGCTGGCCTGACTGGTCCTCCCCTTCATCCCAGGCGGTGGCAGCGCTGGCAGGTTCCGATGCGCTATGAGCATCACACATGTTGGGGCCCTCACAGTGCAGAGTGGGGCTCTGCCCAGTGCTTAAGGATGCCTCTGCTGCCTCATGAGATGTTTCTTTGAGCTCTATAAATGACTCTTTCCACGGCAATCACCCCTATTATGCATCATACTCACAAACCCCTCGACTGCGACTGCGATACAATTCTTCTGCCTCAATCACGGCGAGCTGCACCTAAGAAGCAGAGCTGCAGTCAGTCCCACAGAAGAAGAAATCCTCATCTCCAGAGACAAATTCAATTATTCACAAAGAGTGCCTGTTCAGAAATGCTAGCGTGCGAGCTCTTCCTGCCAGAGGCGAGGATGATTACCCTTGCAGGCTGCTGGCCTCTAAACACTGCTTAAAGAAAACGCTGCTCCCCAGTGAAAGAAAGATGGAGACTTTGAAGCAGGGAGTTCATGAAGGAGTGAGCTAACCTTTAGGGTTCGCTTGGTGCTTGGCACAGAAACTCCCACTTTGTCACTGCGGTTTGGTTTTGGACTTCTTTGGAAAGCATCCTAATAACACTGTAGCTGGCAGGCAACTTTGTCCATGGCACCCCATGGAGGGGTGGATGATGGGGTGGCAGGGAGTCAGCATGGCAAGGGGCAGCAGGATCCCCACTGGGCTTTTTCAGCAACCTCGTGCTTCCTCTGTTGCCCCTTCCCTCCCTTAGCTCTTGTGCCTCTCTCCTGCTTGCAGCACTGCCTCTTCTATGTGAAGGAGGAGGAAGAAGAGGGTTTCTCATTCTGCTTCTTCCTTCTCCTCCCTCGTGGTTGCACACACACATCCACAGGCTGTGTTTGACATAATGCAGCCCCATTTTCTGCCAGGGTGTTTAAGCAGCATGGCGGGGCGTACGTGCTTCCCTCTCAACAGCTCTTTAACCATCCGGAAGACATTTAAAGACCTGAATGGACTTTTTATCCCTCCTCTCTCACTGACAGCTCAAAGTAAGAAAGACAACCAAGAACAGCTCACTCCCAGCTGCCTCCCTGCCCCAGCCCTGCCTGCACTGGCACTGGGGCTGCTCCATCACCTTCGCACCCATGCTGCCGCTGCTCCCAGTGCCAACACTATAGCAAAATCCAAGATGACCCTTTCCACAAATGTTTGGTTTGCCGTTACATCCTACAGACATTCTGGGGCCAAATCCAACTGGATGATGGCTCTTTAATTATGCCTTTAGTTCATCCCACTGGTAAATAGTTGCTTTCTTCACTTTGTAAGCAGGAAACTTGTTTTGGAGTGACTTTACAGCACTCCAAGACAGCAAGTCAGAATGAATGGATAGGTAAGGACTACAGCTCTAAATCCTCTCTTCCTGCTGTCTGTGGGAAAAATCTCTTTGTGTCTGCCTCGTCTTTTAAAACCCTTTCAGTATAAGGAAACAGGATGCAGGAGGATCACAGGGAGTGATCTAGTGCTGAGTTCCTATGTGTGCGCATCTCTGTTTTCCCGTTTCCTTGATACAAGAAAGGGACTGCAAAAGCTGGCAGTGGTTTTTCTAATTAGAAGGTCTAACTTACGTTTACGTTTCAGAGGAAAAGAGTGTACATTTGGGGATAGATGGAAGAGAATCAGTTCCCTCACCTTCTCTGCCATTCCAGCCACACTCCCCTGTGGTCCTCTGCTCCCATTTAATGCCATATCTGATCGGTGCTGGTCCATCAGGGTAAGCTGTTGAGCATCACGTCATGCAAAGCTCAAAGTCATGGGAAAAGCAGAGTACACAAATAGCAACCAATGAACAAAACAAACACAAAGAATGTTGACCCAACAACCACACACCACCGAAAAAAAACACTGCATGAAAGCCAAACAAGTAAAATAAATAAGTAAAGACTCTATAGGGTTACTGCTTTCAAGATGAAATGGAAGGCACATGCGAGAGCAGCCTGCTTTCTTAGGTTGCCTTCTCTTTTCTAGCTCTAACACACACTGTGCTGTTTTGCACAGCATCGCCTAAAGGTTTTTCACTGGTACATCTCATCTTCCACTGCTAAGAAGATGTTCGTGAGCAGGTTAATAACTGTGCAACAAAATGTAATGGCACCCATTGTTTTAAAAGAGGCATGTGTTAGGAAAGGGTAACCCACTGCCAGCACTGGGAATCATCTGCTGATGCTAGGCTACCAGGTGGAGGTCTCCACTGAAGCCTCCCAGAAGGGCCATGTCCTACCCTGGTCTCTTCAGCAGGAGCTTCACAGACAGTGCTTGGAGCAGCTTTCATGAGTCATGCCAGCAAGAGAGAACAGCCGCCTGCCTGAGAAAGAGCATTTCATAAACACAGCTTATGGAGCCTTATCTTGAGATCTGCATGAAAGAAGGCTATCAAGACAAGCAACAGACCACTGTGTCAGAAACAAAAAGCTTAGGTTCACTTCCAGAGTGCTGTAAACCTAGATGGGTTTCACTGTGCAGAGTAGCTCTAATGGGTATCTTTGCCTGATTAGTTTAAAGTCTTCCCTGTTATTATGCAAATACCTTCCTGCAAACCCACAGCCGCCTGGTGAGAGCTCAGCATAGCAGACTGGTTAGAATCCACCACTGAAGAAATAAATCAAATAGGAAAGGCTAAGGGTGTGAAAGTTAACTTCAGATACAGCAGCAGTGACAATTGGAGGGCAGCAGCTGTCTTTTAATTATAAAATAATAAGACAATTTACAGCAATAAAAGGCCAAGTTACAGTGACATTGAGAGCCATAACTTGGATTTTGTTTTCTTGGACAGAATACTTTGAAAGCATCAGATGTTAATGGTTTGTTTGTTTCTAAACAGTATCTTTGTAGCCCTATAAATACCCTTCATGCTATCAGCATGTCAGAAGCAGCCACAGGAAAGCGAGGTATCTCTCCCATCACCATCCCATCCATCCATCATTTATCATTATTATCTATGTATCGATATTATTATATATATTCTATATATATTTTTATATATAACATATATATATTATTATATCATCTATAAATTGCCCCCTATGCCCTAATTCTATGTCTCTTTAGAAAAGTGATGAAGTATTGGAGAGGAGTAGCTGGAATATAAAATAGAGAATAGGAAACTTCTGGGATATTTTTGCATAATGGTATTTTCCAGGCCATAAGGAGAGTAACATTAACTACTTCAGATATGATTCCTTTCGGTTCACTTTCTGCTCAAAGGCATAATGTGAACCTGCCCTAAGGAGCCTGCAAGGCCTTGTTCGTGCACCAACGTGCGCTGAATACCTATCTCCTTCCAGAGCACTCTTAGCCAAGCAGCTGAAGAAAACGATGGAGAATTAAGGTAGTCTTGAACATATAACACCTCTTTCAGCATTCAATACGAGCTCCTAAATTTTTAACCACCACTAAAATTAATATTTCTAGCTTTTAGTTGGTTTGTAAGGGTCACCATCCATGTAAAATAATGTTCAGTTTCTAGCTGAGACTGTTGCCTCCTGAAGCAATACTAGGAAGGGCATGCACTGCTTCTTGCTTCAGTGAAGCAGTGCACCTGTACTAGTGCAGATTTAAAAGAGTCACTGATCACACATTCATTGTCCAAAGCAGAGGATGGACAATCATAGAATAGTTAGGGTTGGAAAGGACCTTAAGATCACCCAGTTCCAACCCCCCTGCCATGGGCAGGGACACCTCACACTAAACCATGGCACCCAAGGCTCTGTCCAACCTGGCCTTGAACACTGCCAGGGATGGAGCATTCACAGCTTCCCTGGGCAACCCATTCCAGTGCCTCACCACCCTCACAGGAAAGAACTTCTTCCTTATATCCAATCTAAACTTCCCCTGTTTAAGTTTGAACCCGTTACCCCTTGTCCTGTCACTACAGTCCCTAATGAAGAGTCCCTCCGCAGCATCCCTATAGCCCCCCTTCAGATACTGGAAGCTGCTATGAGGTCTCCATGCAGCCTTCTCTTCTCCAGGCTGAACAGCCCCAACTTTCTCAGCCTGCCTTCGTGATGACCTCATGAAAATCACCCCCCAGTGTCACTTGGGCTGGAGCTCTGGTTGCAAACCAAGAGTAAGCTGGTAGTCACCTCCGTTAGCCCTCCTCCCAATCTGACCCCTTATCCTCAATACTCCTTCCATCTGGTCCCTGATGTGTGACATACCTGCTCTCAGGAGCCCACTTGTGACCTACTGACACACGGGCACCACTTGGCTGAACACCGCTCCTCCTCCTGCCTGAAATAAGGTTATGCTTTAACTTCTCCACAGCTGATTAAG